GTGTAAACGTTGTACAAATCTTTGGAGAATTTGGGAAAAACATAGGAAATTCTTCAGGATTTAGTTTTGTTTCTTTAGAGGAATGTTTTGATAGTGAATTCTGTATAAACATTTATGTGTTAAGAGGAATGTGTTCTAACAAATGGGTAAGCTATTTAAACTTCTTTGGCATGTTTAGATTTTTTTTTTGTATACAAGTACAGTCCTTATTTTGAATGGAAAAGAAAGGATATGGTGTATCAACTCAAAACACAAAATCACTACATTGACAAATTTTAAACGAATAGCAGAGGAACAGTGCTTTTACTGTTTACTTCCTTGTCCATTGGTCTTATTGGATATTTATCTCATTGACATTTAAATGCTATGTCATCTTATTTTTATTTTTATTGCTGTTTTCATCTCAAATTCATAGTAAGGCCTTCAATTTGAAGCAAAAAAAAAAACTCTCCACTACATATTCAAGACAATTTACACCTAAGTAGCATCAGTTTGGGTGAAATTCTTTGTTAGATGTTAATAACAACCTTGGTGCACAACAAGATGTACATGATATATGTTTTATAACATGATAGGAATTTTCCTATGATTAGGGCAAATTATTTGAGTGCAGGACTGCTTAAGAATTTCTATAAACAAATGGATCAAACGTAAGTAAATGAATTAAAGCACTATACAAGAAGTTATCTTATAAATAGAAACACCATAACTGTAATAAATTGGAGTATACACACACATCATGCAAAGGTTAACTTCAATGCCTCCACACAGTATTATTTTGTCATGCTTAGTACCTTAAGTTAAGTGTTACATAGAGTTTTATTTTGTTAACATTATAACCCCTGATAACAAAGCACTGTACCAAGTTCCTTGGGATACTGTCCATATCTATTTCATTTTATGTGCAATTTGTGAGATAACTGAATTTTAAGCAATTACTTGTAGTAAAATATAGAATAATAGTTTTGTTTTTATGAATTGTTTTGATAATGCAAAGTCCAAAGTAACCACTGTACAACAACAATAAATTTAACAACAATTGAAACATAGTGTTCATTTCTAAGAAATGATAATAAAAATATTTCCCATAATCACTGGCAAAACACTGCCTGGTAATTGTTTTATAGCTAACTAGGGATAACTCTTGCTGGGTAGATGAACTTTTTATGGTAGAACTCATTAAGGTTGTGTCATAATACAGAGGAAAGCTGATGTACTGGAAATCAAAACAACAGGGGTTAATATCTGGTAATCTCTAGGCAAGTGATGTTATATCAGGCTTTTTATTACACATAAAGCTGGAAATGTTAATCTAATTTGCTCCACTCTTAATTTAATTTTTCACTTCACTAAATAACATCTACTAAATTACTGTTGTAGGCCTTTTAAAAGTACAGCATACAGAAGTTTGATAAAAGAATATCATATTGAATATTTTTAAAGAATTGTTGCAGTTTATTTGCCTTTGAAGCTTAACCCTGGAGGTGGGGGTGGATGGAATGAAGTGATGTATGCATGGATGTCCATATTTTTTTTATAAACAGGAAAAAGTTTGTCAAAATATAAAAAATACTTTGACTTTCCAAAGGCACACTAGTGACATTTTAGACCTGATAGTTATGACTCAATATTTTTGTATCTTAACCATAAAGAATCAGCCATTTGATTCAACCATGTTCACGGTCATGCACATGATGAATTGTTTCCAATACTGAGATGTGCCTTGTTGCAAACATTTAAACTGGAGGGAAAAAACATCTTTAATGAGCTTAATAATGAAAGCATTATATGATAAGCTGTCCGTTCTCCTAATTATGTTATTCAGTTAGTGTCTAAACTTCTGGTAACATGATGTACTTAAAACTTATCTTACATCTGCAGACACAGGAAACCATAGAGGAAATACAGTCTATACCTAACTACTAATTATGTTAAAAATAAGACCCTGTGCAGTAAAGGTACTTACTTTTATGTACCTCTTGAGAGAAAAAAGGTTTGTCCTTAACTTAATGGGCAAATGCTTTGTTACATGTGCTTGTATTTGACATAAAAGAGGTTGATGACTTTTATAGTTGTGTATTATATATAATGTATGTGGACAATTACCCAATGAAAGAAAAGAAATGTTAAAACTTGGGAAGTGTATGACCAGGGACATATGCCAATATGTTGTTGCATGAGAAGTTATAAAGGGGACATGATGATAAATGATTTTTGCTATGTGGACCTTAATATAAGAATTTTTTTATGGAATAATAGGATTGTACTGTTTAAGAATGGGGAAAGAACATAATCTTTGTCTGCACTCATAAAACAACAACAGTTGCCTCTGAGACCATGCTTCTGATATCAATTATTGCCAAATGTTTTGTATGAATGTTTTAACATTCAGATTAGACCTAAGACAGCATAATTTGTATATGTTAGGAAGGGAATCTTTTTGTGTCAAGTAAAGCTGTAGATACAAGCCACAGACGATAATTTAAACATAAGTTCTGTTTCATATTTCTTTATCAATCTTGGAATAAAATTAGATTTCAAATAATACATGTAGTTCTATTTTGATCTGTTAAATGTTAACTATTAACTTGATTCATTTTCAAACTTCTTTTAAACTCTTATAATGTATTTTAACAGTTATGTCATTAAATTAACAATTAGCTCATACTATATCACCATGGTAGGTAATTACATAATAGTGCTGCTTTCATTACAACTTTTTACACATAATTGTCTGTAACATAATATTTTCTTTTAGTCCAGAGTTTTCAGTTGATGATAATTTTATAGAAACAAACTGAATCATTTAATTTTATTTCTTGAATTTATTCTTTTCATAATGCTCTCATTGATTACGGTCTTTCATTAACACAGTGTTTTATTGACTTGTGAAAAACTGTGACAAAGACTCTTTTGTGTGGAGGTATAAACAGCTGAGGGTAGAAGCATCATGCTTCAGTTGGCATCCTTGATGGTAACTGATAAAAACCTGTGTAAAATCCATCTCAAATTCAATTGACCATGAAAATCTCAATATGGTTACCTTAATTATTTTTATGATCAGATTTTTACTAGCTGTGAAATTTAAATTACTTTTGACACATGCCAGAAACAAGACTATATTTTCTGTGAGGTAAGATGCTTTTTATGGAGGTGGCAGCTTGAAAAGAGAAAAAGAAATATTAATTTTTAGGTAATTGAGGGACAAAAGTTCAAGTAAAAGATTAACATTTTATGAAGAGAGAATTTTGTTATCAATGTAAATCATGGTTTTATTCACAGATTTGTCAAGTTGGAATATAATTTTGATTGCTAATTTTCCATCTGTACTTTCAAAGTGTTGTTACCTTTAGACAAGTATTTGAATTAATAATTTGGTTTATTGTATTTGAAAAGTGACAAGTAATATTACATTTCACCATTTGTAGAATCTTTATTTTAAGATTTTTTTGTGATAGAGGAATAAGGACAATAAGAAACTGAACATACACAAAATATGATAATAATTGAGGAAACACAAAAATACAACAACAAAAAAAAAAGGGGGGGGGGGAGGGGGGTTACTATAATCAATAGTCCACCAAGAATACCATAGAAACTTAAAAAATAAATAAATTGAATTTAAGTATGTTAAACTTTTGTGGACAAAAATAAAAGGCATGAAAGAGAAGAAATGAAATTTGATATTTGTACAACTGTCACATGATATTTATTAGTTGATAAATGTAATAACACATCTGCTTAGGTTATCACTACTTAATGATTCTATAATTTCAAGTTATTATTTTACACTTGTACAGTGTTACGTAAATACAATGGTTTGACTGTCTGTGCATGCAATTATCTTTTTTAAAATCATAACCTTGAGTTTAAATACTATTTAAATAGTTAAAATGAAGAAAAGTGTTATCTGATATAAAAGGTTGTGCCCATTTGAAAATCGCTGTCTATTTTGATAAAAAGAAAGGGAAATATTAATTTCCGCACGAGTTGTTTTGAATAGGATGCATCTGTCCGGGTGTATTACCTGACTGAAATATATAAATGTATGTAATTCTGTTCAGGGGAATTAACTCCATATCTTTTGTTTGCTCACCTGCTATTAGAACTGTACGAACAAGAGAGAAATTACACGTTGTTACCTGTTAAAGCATATTGCATGGATAAATATAAATCATTTTTAGGTAAAACATGACTTGCACATCTATGTTTCAAGTTACCTGGAGACTGAACATTGCAGACAAAAAGTTGTAATAGATTTGGACAAGATTTTTATTTACTCTGTGCATATTTTATGTAACAAATGTTGAAGAATAAAATAAAGAAGTACAGGTAGCCAAATTTTTAGCAGCTGAAAAAAGAATATGGTAAATTATGCAGACAGTTTGTAGATAAGTTTGTAAATATATAACTCATCAGTATATAAAGAGAATATTGCGGTCACAACTGGAAAATTGATACAATTTGAATAAAAAATACAGGAATGAAGTGTCAAAGAATCAAATTAATTCATGGGGTAGTTTTTTGCTGATTATGAGATATCCTCACAATGGATCTTTAAATTTATACTTAACAACCTGAACATTTAGCTGAATTTTATTGCCCTTAAGAAAGGTTGAATAAAGCTGGCTCAAAGTTCCAGTATGATCAAATACTTCTGTTTACTTTTTTGAAAGTAAGTGGGGTTATGCAAATTGTTGAGGATGCCTTTTATTTTTTGCTGCTATCTTTTTATAGCACACACTGTATCTTTAAGGAGGGGTAAACATTTTAGTGGAGGGAGGGTGGGAAAATGGAGAGAAGCAGGAGAGGGAAAAAGATTGAAATAAAAAAAATTAATGGAATAAAAGAAAGAAGGAAGTTGGAGACTGAGGGAAATGGGAGGGTGGGAAGAAGACAAGGGTGATTAGAGTCTCTCATGGCTCCATCAATTTGAAGGAGTAACCAAACCTGAGCCTATAGTAAAAATTGAAAACTGATGATCCTGATTTATTTTTCAGATAAAGAATCATGATGACTTTGTGTACTTGTGACAGAAGTCATTCTGAAAATCGCCAGTTGAACTGTGACAACTATTGTCTGAAATACACGTAACTATGAATGATATTGGATGTAAGCAATCGAAAGTGGAGTACAAGAAGCAAATATATCTGTTGTGATGATGGAAAAAATGCTTTTATTCTTTGTAAGTGTTTTACATGTGGTTAGTGCAATGCCATCTTATAAAGTTGAAACAAGAATTCTAAAGGATGAAAATGGTATGAATGGATCCATCAACCACTTTGTTCATGATAATTCCAAGAATATGTTTTATGTTGGTGCTGTCAATCGTATTTTCAAGTTGAGTCAATCGTTGGAAGTTCAACAACAACTCGTTACAGGCCCTGAACCAGATAATCACTTGTGTACTGGATCTGCATGTGATGGGAAAACAAAACAATTGACCAATAATTACAACAAAATTTTACTCATTGAAACCAACATGAATGGAAATGACCGTCTTGCTGTATGTGGCAGTATATTTCAAGGTTTTTGTGAATTTAGGGACTTACAAAATATAAGCAAAAAACTGTCTATGAAAATGCATACAAGCCTTGTAGCAAATTCAAAAAGTGATTCTACTGTGGGTTTGATTGTAAAGCGAAATCTCAATGAAAATATTTTATTTATTGGAGCATCATACCCAATCAGTCTACATTGTAAGGATGAAGATAATAGGAATGTGTTTTTTCTTAGACGTAAAGATATACCTGCTCTAAGTATGAGGAAACTTACTAGTGATAATTATACCTTTTCACTGTATAAGGAAGCCTCATTTATTGAACAACAACCTCCTTCTGCTCTCAAAATAATTTATGATAAAATCAGTAAATATATAATTGATTTTGTATCAGCTTTTTCAATTGAGGAATATACATATTTTTTATCGTATCAGCCATCTGATTTAATTCAAAACTGTGAAACCAATGCAAGCCCTAAACCCTCACAGTCTAGGATATCTCTCACCTGCAATAGGGATACTCACTTTTATTCATATATTGATATACCACTTACTTGTTATGGAAATAATACAAATTATAAAATAGTGCGTGCTGGAAAAACTATCATACCAGGTCGAAATTTACGGACTAAACTTGGAGTTGACAGTGAAATTCTTGTTGCTCTGTTTGAAAATCGCCAAAACGGAAAAACGGATTCTGCAGTTTGTATATTCACAATTAAGGAAATAGAAGACAAAATGAAGACTAACCTAAAAAAATGTCAGAATGGAAGTGAAGCAATGAAAGGAGCACACTTTGATGATGGTGCTACTTGTACACATCAGGTTTGTATATATTATGAATTAAAACTCTAGCCATTTAGAAGCATAATCAATGGTAATAGAACTGAAATTTGGTTATTAATTCATGACACAAAATCACTACACACACATAAAATTCCAAAAGCAAAGGAACAGCACTATTTAATTTTTCATTAAACTAACAATTTTCAATGTTAAGTTTTATGATGAAGTTAGTTTGATAGGAACTACTTACAATAGACAATATTTTCAATAAAGTTACATTGCTGTCTGTACATCTCAGTTTGTCAACCATTTTGAGGCCCTACCCACTTGTTGGTCCAGTGACTTTGAATTAATTAGCAATGTTGCTGTCCATCAAATTGTCTTTTTCTGAATTTTATGCCGATAGGCGAGTCATCTCTGTGTCAACAGTTTATATTAATGTGAGCATGCTTTACTGTGTGATGCATTTGAGATTCAGCCCTCCTCAACAATACTTAAATCTTTAACACTTAATGGCCATGTATGAAATTTTTGTTGCAATTTTTAGGGAACTACAAATGAGAACTCCCGAAATTTGGTATCAGCCTTAATGTGATACATTTATAAAAAATAGGAGGTGTGGTATGATTGCTAATGAGACAACTATCTATCAGAGTTCAAATGACGAAGATAAAAGCAATTATAGATCACTGCACATCCTCCAACAATGAGAGAAAATTGTACTGTAAGTCATATACATGTACCGGTAGTATATAACAGTCCCTGTCACGACAAATGTGAAACAATTCAAACGAGGAAAACTGATTGCCCAAATTTATACAATACAAATATGACAGACATGAAACGACAACCACTGAATTAGAGTCTTGTGACTTGGGACAGGCACTTTAAGAATGTGGCTGGGTTAAACATGTTTGTGAGCGCTCAACCCTCCCCTAACCTGGGACAGTGGTGTTACAACACAACATAAGAACAAACTGTAAAAATTAGTTTGAAATGGCTTAACTTGATAAATAGGTACAAGCATGCTATACTGTGTGATGCATTTTCAGATTCATCCCCCTCAACTTCCTGTTTACAAAATCCTTGTAATTTCTTAAAGATAATTGCCATGCACGAGTTTCGTCACACTTTTTTAGGCGATTACTTATAACAAAGTCCTGAAATTTGTTATCAGACTTCATATGAACATGCTTAACCAATTGTTTCAGTTCAAAAAAGATTTTCACCAATTGCGTCATTAGTGATGTAATCTTGTGACATCATAATTGTAGGTAAATTTCTTTAAAACCTAATTTTTTGCATAATTTGGCAAAATTATGACTGTTTTCTGAAAAAATAACAGTGGCTCTTCCACCCCTTGTCCACAATTTTTTTTTGCTAAAATATTATTTATATACCATATTCTTTACTTACAACCAAATTTCAATGGGGAAGGGGTGGCACCACATATGCAATCATGAAAAAGGGTAGTATAGGTGACATACAAATGTATTTCTAGAAAAATTGACTGAAGTGAAATCTATTATTTCAGGCTGATATATTTGAAGTGTTAAAAAACACCTTTACAGGGCTGTTTATTGGGTGTAATCGGCTCTACTCCTTTATTATCAACTTCATGTGGACTTGCTTTAAAGTGCTATGTGTTTTCAGATTCATTGCTCATCAACTTCCTGTTTTAGTCCAACACATAATAGCCATGTATGAATTTTCGTCACAATTTCTAGGGAACTACAATAAGAGCTGTCTGAAATTTGTTATCAAGATTCATGTGGACTTGCAATAGTGTTTGGTGCACTTTTCTATCCATTGCTCTTTAACTTCTAGTTAACTGAATACAGGAAAACGCCAGTATAATAGTGAGCCTGTTTGGATTTTATTTTTATACACCTAAGTCAGGAATCTGATGTTCAGTTGTTGTCGTTTGTTGATTTGGTTCATAAGTGTTTCTCGTTTCTCGTTTTTTTATATAGATTAGACCGTTGGTTTTCCCGTTTGAATGGTTTTACACTAGTAATTTTTGGGCCAATTTGGGGCCCTTTATATCTTGCTGTTCAGTGTGAGCCAAGGCTCCGTGTTGAAGACTGTACTTTGACCTATAATGGTTTACTTTTATAAATTTTGACTTGGATGGAGAGTTGTCTCATTGGCACTCATACCACATCTTCTTATATCTTTATATATTTGACTGCTATTTAAGTATGGATTGATTGATAGGTGTTTAACGCCACTTTCAACACTATTGTGCTATTTCGTGGTGGTCAGTTTTAATTGGTGGAGGAAGCTAGAGTACTAGGAGAGAACCACGACCTTCGTAAGGAAAACTGACAATCCTAGTCAATCAAGATTGGAGTCGAGCGCACCTATGACCTGTGGGAATCGGAACTCTCAACCTCAGTGTTCTTCATGTCATGTATGTCAGTCAGGGGTACTACTTGTACAAGTTATTTTTATTTACTTGAAGAAGTAAATATTAATATATTTATATAAGTAAATTTGTAAGATACTTATACAAGTGTATTTTATTTACTTGTGTAGGTAAATTATTTTAATGGCTTAGTTATGTCCCTTACACATACAGATTTTTTTACTTATACAAGTAAAAAAGTCATACTATCTTCTTTTCTTGAATTTCTCAGGACTTCTTTGCTCTAATGGAATTTTTAATTGTCTGTCCTTTGCAGATGTCTTTACTTATCATTTAAGTGTAATTTCCTGGACAATGAAAATCTCATTTGTCTGTTATCTTCAAAACACTGCTCATTTACAAGCCTCCAAATTTTTGAAGGCCTTGAACAATTAAGTAAGATCTTTGCGCAAATAGTTTCTTTGTTGAATTAATGAGATGAAACGTTGAACTCTAATAAAAAATTATGAGCTTACCAGAGAAAAATTGTTTAAGGCATGTTTTTACATCCGAAATCTTAAGAATTTTAGGGATTGTAAAAAAAATTACTTGTACAAGTAAATTTTTTGACAAAATTAAGGGGAGATTATTCAAACCTTATAAGAAAATATGAATATAACAAATTTATTTATATAAGTATATTATTATTTACTTCTTCAAGTAAATAAAAATAACTTGTGCAAGTAGTACCTTTGACTGTATGTATGGATCAGATATCTCAATTAACTCCAATATTTAAAGATATTTTAAGCTTACTATTTTCTCTTAAAAATCTACTATGAAGTTGTTTTATATGTGTACTCAAATATCTATTTTTGTTATTTTATTGCAAAAGGGATCAGTAATAGGAAGTGGACCTACACTGTGCACTACCATAAAAAGTTATTATGGAGGAAGAATATCTGGAGTAATTGGTGCTCAAGTGCAACCTGCCATTGTCTTCGAAAATACTGCTTTGACTTCTGTTACACTAACCACAACTTCTAACTTCACTGTAGCTTTCCTTGGTACATCAAATGGACACTTGAAAAAGGTAGCATTTCTTTGTAGTTTTATGTTTTATATTGCTAATTTCACCCCAAAATTTTATGTGATACAATTTAAATTATTTGGTAGATAAATACTTATACATTTCATAGGAGTAGGTTTCAAAGACCACAGCATGACCCCTTTTTAGCTCACTTGGCCTAAAAGGCCAAGTGAGCTTTTCTCATCACTTGGCATCTGTCATCCGTCGTCATCGTCTGTTAACTTTTACAAAAATCTCCTCTGAAACTACTGGGCCAAATTTAACCGAACTCAGCCACAATCATCATTGGGGTATCTTTTTAATAAAATGTGTCCAAAGTGTCCAACCAAGATGGCCGACATGGCTAAAATAGAACAAAAATGCAAGTTTTGCCTATTATTTTGAAAACCACTATAAATAGAGAAATTCTGACAGAAGCAAAACGTTCAGAATGTTGAGCTCTACCTATTGTCTATTTGCGTCAAAACTTTCAGACGACTTAAATGAAGAATTTAACCATTTTTAGCTCACCTTTCCAAAGGAAATGTGAGCTTTTGCCATCACTTGGTGTCCATCGTCATCGTCGTCCGCCCTGTGTAAACTATTTCGAACATCTTCTTCTCTGAAAGTACTGAACCAATTCCAACCAAACTAAAGCTGAATGATCCTTAGGGTATCTAGAATAAAGTTTGTGTTTTATTTTCTGTTTCGTCAAAAAACATGGCCCCCATGGCTAAAAATAGAACAAAGGGGTAAAATGTAGTTTTTGGCTTATATCTCAAAAACTAAAGCATTTAGAGCAAATCTGACAGGTGTAAAATGTTCATTAGGTCAAGTTCTATCAGCCCTGAAATTTTCAGATGAATGTAACGACCCATCTTTGGGTTGCTGCCACTAAATTGGTAATTTTAAGGAAATTTTGCAGTTTTTAACCGCATTTTCGAAGGAAAAATCAGATATTGATTTGGGGATGTATGGCGGGCCTGCGGGCGGGTGGGAGCTGCCAAACAGTGTCTGTTCATTAACATGAAAACGCTTTGATGAAATTTTTTCAAATTTAGATATGTTGTTTCCTGGGACTAAATAAAGGTCTAGTTCAATTTTCAGGATTTTAGCTTTTCTCGTTGTTGAGTTATATCCCTTTCCAATAGTCAAAAGTGGTACTTATTATGTGATTGAGTTATTTCCCTGTGAGGGCTATTCCATTAAAATGTATGTAGGAGGGTAGGAAGGGACTTTCAAAATATCCCTACAACCAAGAACCATTTTTTAGATAATTTTGCATAATGGTAATAGACGCATACTGAAAAAAGACCCATGACCAACATTCAATAATTAAATTTCCCTTCCTACCCTCCCATATACATTTTAATGGAATAGCCCTGAACAGAAATGGTTAATTATATATATATAAAGTTTGATTACACTTACAGATAAGTTTTATAGATTTTTGAGACATTGTATTAATGATTAATGACATTTTGGATTTTTTTTTCTTTTCTTTGGTAAATTGTTTGAAGAATTTTGTGGTAGTCTGTACAAACTTATTTTCTGAATGCTATATATATATTTTATTTTGGATGAAGTGAACTCCTTTAAAAACTAAGCTTATTGTTGAGCCTGCGACTTTTGTCGCAGAAAGCTCGACATAGGGATAGCGATCCGGCGGCGGCGGCGTTAGCTAACTTCTTAAAAGCTTTATATTTTAGAAGATGGAAGACCTGGATGCTTCATACTTTGTATATGGATGCCTCATGTTACGAAGTTTCCGTCAGTCACATGTCCAATGTCCTTGACCTCATTTTCATGGTTCAGTGACTACTTGAAAAAAAAGTTCAGATTTTTTGTAATGTTAAATTCTCTCTTATTATAAGTAATAGGATAACTATATTTGGTATGTGCGTACCTTGCAAGGTCCTCATGCCCGTCAGACAGTTTTCACTTGACCTCGACCTCATTTCATGGATCAGTGAACAAGGTTAAGTTTTCGTGGTCAAGTCCATATCTCAGATACTATAAGCAATAGGTCTAGTATATTCGGTGTATGGAAGGACTGTAAGGTGTACATGTCCAACTGGCAGGTGTCATCTGACCTTGACCTCATTTTCATGGTTCAGTGGTTATAGTTAAGTTTTTGTGTTTTGGTCTGTTTTTCTTATACTGTATGCAATAGGTCTACTTTATTTGGTGTATGGAATGATTGTAAGGTGTACATGTCTAGCTGGCAGGTGTCATCTGACCTTGACCTCATTTTCATGGTTCAGTGGTCAAAGTTAAGTTTTTGAGTTTTGGTCTTTCTTTCTAATACTGCATGCAATAGGTCAGCTATATTTGGTGTATGGAATGATTGTAAGGTGTACATGTCTAGCTGGCAGGTGTCATCTTACCTTGACCTCATTTTCATGGTTCAGTGGTCAAAGTTAAGTTTTTGAGTTTTGGTCTTTTTTTCTAATACTATATGCAATAGTTCAACTATATTTGGTGTATGGAAATATTTTATGATCTATATGTCAGTCACGCAGGTTTTATTTGACCTTGACCTCATTTTCAAGGTTCATTGCTCAGTGTTAAGTTTTTGTGTTTTCGTCTGTTTTTCTTAAAACTATAAGCAATAGGTCAACTATATTTGTTGTATGGAAGAATTGTTAGCTGTACATGCCTGCCTAGCATGGTTCATCTGACCTTGACCTCATTTTCATGGTTCATTGGTCAATGTTTAGTTTACTTGGTTAATGTTAAGTTTATGTGACAGTTGTAATAAAGCTTTATATTTAGGACTATCAACATAATATCAATGATTAGTAAAGAAGGCGAGACATTTCAGCGTGTGCACTCTTGTATTGTCTATTAATAAGCATATATTTAGATTTCTGATTTTGGTTTAATTTCATCAAAAATTGAATTCTTGGGGTTCTTTGATATGATGATTCTAACAATGTTTTAGTGGTTAAATCATATCTAATTTTATTGATTATAATTCGAAAGTATATAACATCATAACTAATTTTAGAGAACTATTTTTTAGTGGTTAAATCATATCTAATTTTACAGAACTGGCCCGAGAACACAGTTATTTCGTAGTGCATTTCTTTTAGACAATAAATTCAAATTAAAAAAATCGCACCTGCTCTATCTCAAAAAGATTTTTACAGTGTAGTGTACTACTATTGAAACGAATAATATCAAAATTATAGAAACTTCTACCAGCTCTAACTCAAAATATTGACAATTCTGTGTTAAGGGGGGCTAAAATTCAGTTTGACAGCTTCCGACATTCTAATTTTTGACCTTTTTTAACTGGACCCAATCACTACTTAACATAAAGATTCAGCACCCAAATTTTTTAAACATGTAATTTCATCCCCTTACTTAATATTTCATGCATAAAATATCAAGAGATAAATTGGGAAAGTGTATAAAAAAAAAATGCAAGTTATACACTGTTCACACTAGGGACTATATTCGTAGACAACGAAAACCAAAGCACGATAACTGTGTCCTTGGACCTAATAGGATAGAAAGACTTGACCAATTTTAATAAAACTTTGCATGACCTAAGCTTAGGCAATTTTAAGATAGTTGGCCAAGATTCATGGCCATAGGATATATATTATAGAAACTAGGGCCATTTTAATATTGAAATTTTGATGTTTATTTTTGACGTTTAAATCAAATATTTTCAACTGTCAAGATTTTGACCTAAAAAATTTAAATATTGCAAAAATTTGCTTTTTAAATACTCTTGAATTTAATATAATAAGTATTAAAAGCAACGGAACACTCATTTGATTTATCAGATTTATTACAGTTATTAAAAAGTCAAATTTATATGATCCTGTGCCTGAAAATAGAGATTTTCTAAATTAAGGGAAGCCTTACATAAACATGCATTTTTTTCAACCAATTTGAAGTTTTGGTTTTTAACCTTACATTATTCTTCCATATATATTAAATGTACTTTAAATGTAAAGAAAAGTTACAAAAAGCATACCACATGAGTAGAAAATGGTCTTAGGCCATGTAAGACTGAGAATTATTTAGAGTCGATTTAGGCGGTAGCCCATATTTACATATAAAAATGCACACAGAGGCTATAAGGAATTGAAATTTGTTACTTTTTGCTCATTTCTATGCTAAGATGTCATGATACAAGAAGTCTAATTGCAAAAGGACTGTTGAATTCAACTTTTTTTTGCAGACTGTATGGTCTGATGACCAGTTTTTCACTTTTCAATGGAAAACTTGCATGTAGTTTTAGTCTCATTTGGCATATATTTGAACCACTTACTATCCTAAAGAAGAAAATTATGGTAGCATATGAAATGAATAGGGTGTACTGATCATTGTAAAGTGTTTTTTTTACAGATTTAGTGAAATATTTGCGACGGACTACAGATTTTATATACAAAGCTCTTCACATTTCACATACATCAAACAGGCTGTTTAACCTGGGACATAAATACAAATATTCTGCACATTTTTCTGTGATAATCTACTTTTCTCTAGATTCCGAGTTCACAGATGGTAAATTAAATTTGATTTAAGCATAGAAACACAAATATCAGGAACATAAAAAGCTGTCAGATAGAAAGTCAGCATGGCTCTTAGGCATAAAATGGAAACTGCTTTAAAATGCTTATTTTAGCCGTATAATGCCAAAATGGGACATTTTAACAGAATTTCTGTCAAACAAAGATGTAAATCCTTTACTTTTATTGAGTTTGACAAATTGAAACCAGAAAACCATTCAGGAAAGTTGCCAAAGTACAGAATCTACATTTACGGAATTCATCTCTTAGGCCCCGAAAACACAGTTAATTTCGTAGTGCATTTCTTTTAGACAATAAATTCAAATAAAAAAAATCGCACCTGCTCTATCTCAAAAAGATTTTTACAGTGTAGTGTACTACTATTGATACAAATAATATCAAAATTATAGAAACTTCTACCAGCTCTAACTCAAAATATTGACAATTCTGTGTTAAGGGGGGCTAAAATTCAGTTTGACAGCTTCCGACATTCTAATTTTTGACCTTTTTTAACTGGACCCAATCACTACTTAACATAAAGATTCAGCACCCAAATTTTTTTAACATGTAATTTCATCCCCTTACTTAATATTTCATGCATAAAATATCAAGAAATAAATTGGGAAAAAGTATAAAAAAAAAATGCAAGTTATACACTGTTCACACTAGGGACTATATTTGTAGACAACGAAAACCAAAGGACGATAACTGTGTCCTTTGACCAACTATTTGTTTATCATTTATTCAGTTTGAGTTATTTCCCTTCGAACAGAAAATTAATAAGTATATGGATAACATTAAACTGTGTTTCATTTCAACATAAATTAAATATATATAGGGTTCTTTCAAATGCTGAATCTAAACCTGTATTTAAATATTGGATTTTTGGGCCCAGTTTTCAAGTTGGTTCAAATCAGGGTCCAAAATTAAACTTTTTGTTTGATTTCAACAAAAATTGAATTTATGGGTTTTTTTTTAAATGCTGAATCTAACCATGTATTTAGAGATTTTGGCTTATTTTTGGCTTCTTTATCAAATTGGTCCACATTGAGGTCCAAAGGGTCCTAAATTAAACTTTTGTTTGATTTCATCAAAAATTGAATTCTTGGGGTTCTTTGATATGCTGATTCTAACAATGTACTTAGATTTTGGATATTGGACCATAATAGGTAAATGTCCAATTTCAAATTTTTCAGTTCTTAGACCACATTCATTTTGTGTCACAAACCTATGCTGTGTCAAATATTCAATCGCAATCCAAATTCAGAGCTGTTTTAAGCTTAAATGTAGGGTCCATACTTGCTCAACTGTTCAGGGTTCGACCTCTGCAGGAAATCCGGTTTGCTGTCACACTGACAGCCTCTTGTTGGTTATTATCTTGAACATTATTATAGATAAAGATAAACTGTAAACAGTAAAAATGTTCAGCAAAGTAAGATCTACAAATAAGTTTTGTATGACCAAAATTGTCAATTGACCCCTTAAGGAGTTATTGCCCTTTAAGGACAGTTTTACACAATTTGTTTATCATGTTTTCTAACTTTAAAAAATCTTTTCCTCTGAAATTACTGAACCAAATTAAACCAAACTTCAGCTGAATGATTCTTAGGTTATCTAGAATAAAGTCTGTTTTATTTTCTGTTTCCTCAGAAAACATGGTCGCCATGGCTAAAAATAGAACATAGGGTAAAATGCAGTTTTTGACTTGTATCTCAAAAACTAAAGCATTTAGAGCAAATCAGACAAGAAGTTAAAGTATTCAATAGGTCAACGTCTATCTGCCCTGAAATTATCAGCCAAATCGGGTATCTGATATTTAGGTATTGCCCCTGAATTGATCATTTTAAGGAAATTTTGCAGTTTTCGGTTATTATCTTGAATATTATTATAGATAAAGATAAACTGTAAACAGCAAAAATGTTCAGCAAAGTAAGATCTACAAATAAGTTTTTATAAAACCAAAATTGTCAATTGACCCCTTAAGGAGTTATTGCCCTTTAAAGACAATTTTCCACAATTTGTTCATCTTAAAAAATCTTCTCCTTTGAAACTGCCGAATCAATTTCAGCCAAACTTGGGCTGAATGAGTTTCAGAGTATCTAGTATAAATTTTGTATTTCATTTCCTTGTACGTCAAGAAACATAGCCACTATGGCTAAAATGGAACATAGGGGTAAAATGCATTTTTTTGCTTTTGAAGAAAATATGACAGATACAAAGAACATTTAAATGGCATTTTTAAGCCACTCATTAATATATATTGAAAAGCAAAAATAATCAATGATGAAAGATTTAAGCAAAAAATTACAGGTGAGCGATTCAGGCTCTTGAGAGCCTCTTGTTTAAATATTTTTCCTATTGTCCCGAAAATTATCATAGATAGACAGAAACTTCATAAAGCAAAAATGATCAGCAAGACAAGATCTACAAATAAGTCAGCATGATCAAAATCCTCAGACGATTCTTTTTTAGACTTATTGCCCTTTAATGATAATTTTTTTACATTTTTTGCATTTTTTGCCTATTATCTTGAAATCTTTATATTAGGTAAATAGAAACTTTGAAAAGGAAAAATTATCAGTAGGATAAGATCTACAAATATGTCAACATTACTGAAATTGTCAGTTAACTCTTAATAGAGTTGTTCCCCTTTAATGCTGATTTTTACTAAAAAATGGCCATTGTTGAAGATGCAGGTGAGCAACACAGGCTCTTTAGAGCCTCTAGTTTTAATCCAAATTCCCAGTTAAAAAAATGACTACAAAGACAAAAAAATGTATGTTATAATTATCTAAATTCGATGAAAACAGGCCAAATTCTGTTTGTTTTTATGATAGAAATATATATATAATATATATCCGATGTGTCGACAACAAGATCTTTTATCATTATGTTTTTAGCTTACTCGGGCCCCATGTGAGCTTATGCCATCACTTGGCGTCCGTCTTCGTCTGTCGTCGTCTGTCGTCGTAAACTATTTCAAAAATCTTCTCTTCTGAAACTACTGGGCCAAATACCTTCAAACTTTAATGAAATGTTCCTTAGGGTATCTAGTTTATAAATTGTATCCGAAGTTTTGATCCATCGACAAACATGGCCGCCATGGCTAAAAATAGAACATAGGGGTCAAATGCAGTTTTTGGCTTATATCTCAAAAACTAAAGCTTTTAGAGCAAATCTGACTTCGGGGTAAAAATGTTCAATTGGTCAAGATCTATCAGCTCTGAAATTTTCAGACGAATTGAACAACCCATTGCTGCCACCGAATTGGCAGTTTTAACCAAATTTTGCAGTTTTTTGTTATTATTTTGAATATTATTATAGATATATATATAAACTGTAAGCAGCAATAATGTTCAGCAATGTAAGATCTACAAAAAAGTTAATATGACCAAAATTGTCAATTGACCCCTTAAGGAGTTATTGCCCTTTAAAGACAATTTTACACAATTTGTTCATCAAGTTTGCTAACATTTAAAAATCTTCTCCTCTGAAATACAGGTGAGCGATTCAGGCTCTTGAGAGCCTCTTGTTTATACCTAAAAACCTATCTGACTTGAATGATTTAGTGATGTTTTGTTCTAATTTGGGTGTAAATGTTTTATAAGAAAAACTTGACAAAAATTGTTCTTAACTTTCTTGCATGTTTAAAAGTATCAATTTGAAACACTTTTATCTTGAAATAATGGACTTTTTATAATATATAAGGGTCCAAATAGGGCCCTTACTGCATCTACTCCTTTTTGGAAGTATAATGGAATTGAAATATAATTTTTTTTAGCAAATTTTGCATCAAAGTTGCCAAATGAATGTTTTCTGTTTCATGCTTTTGACAAGTTGATGTCGCATCTTCCTAAAGCATCACAGCCCATTCTTTATTTTGAGGATTTTTTTTTAATTATTTTTGCTCACTAATGTTCTCTTATTTCAACATCAATATAGTATCCAGAAGTTTATAGGAGAAATCGACCATGGACTTCAAACACCTGTTATTTTAGGATTTAATTCAAAAGAATAAAATCAAATCAAATGAAACCAAATATAATTGTATCATTATAATAAGAGTAACTTAAAAGTACAGAATCGGTATTTAAAATCCCTATTGCATCTATAGCTTTTTATTTGGCTCCAATACTTGTTCAGTCTGTACTGTTTATTGATAGTATTTAAAAGTATACCTAAAAAAAGGAATTGGATGATTATTGCGATTATCTCCAATAAATAATTAAATGATATTGATTTCTTCGATCTAAAGTAGTAAATATTTCCAAGGATTTTTATTTGTGTTGCTAAATTGCAAATATATTCCCTCTTGTAAATTTGATTTTAAAGAAGAGCAGAACCAGGAACAAGAAAAAACATGAAACACTCACTAATGGGTTTGGATTTAGAAGTCGTGAAAAATAAACCACTTAACGAATACTTCATTAACTAGAATGTTGCACTTATTTCTATTTTTCTTAACATGGATGTTAACTTGCAATGTACTAATTTATATTTTCCCACTTCGTAGATCGTGATAGAGAACAAGACTGTAGCAAAAGAATATGACCAAGACCTGGTCATAGACGAGGGAAGTCCTATAAACCAGGATACATTCTATGACTTTGACCATAGAAATCTGTATCTAACAAGTCAGAGATTGGTAGGTATTCTTGGCTGTTACCTTCTATTCCACTTTCTTTACACCCATGATGTATGCTGTAGTCTTAACTCTCTAAAATTTGTATTCCTTCATGTTTGTCAATCCTACCAAACTGTCAATCCTTTTTGGGCTTTTTTCCATCAGAAAATAAAAGAAAGTGGTCAACTACCAACATAATATATGTTTTGTACAGATTTGTTGTAGGAATTGGTCTACTATTTGAGCCTGTACTAGTCCAGTACTATTTGCCATCAGAAATTCTCAGCTTTTCCTTTATAGTATTTTTTCACTGAAACTTTGTTTAGAAGTATACTTATAACAATTAAAAGGTTACCAAAAGTTAGATTGATCACATGCATAGACTTTAAATCCTTTTAAATCTCCGTTTAAAAAAAAAATCATTGGAAGTATATGAATGAACAGGTGATAAATTTGTAGATGGATGTATATAATAAGGTAATGTGGTATGATTTCCAATGAGTCAACTATCCAATAGAGTCCAAATAAAGCAGATTTAAGCAACTATAGGTGACCGTTCAGCCTTTCAAAGAGGAGCGTAACCTAAACTGTATAGTCCCATGTATTTTCTAGGTTTTTACACTGAATCAAAGCAATTCAAATGTAACATATTTGTATTGTAAATAAGGCTGAATGGTATCCAGGTATACTGTGTGTTTATTAATTGCTAAAAATGATAAAGTTCAGGTGCATAATTGGCTTATATAATCCAATTAATCTCTTGGTTTCTTTTTTTGGATTTTTCCTGTTACTAGTGGAAGTTAACAATGGCGTTTGTATTAAGTTTCACATAGTAAGCTGTAATTTGCCATGACATTGTTTATTTATTTGTTAAGTACTATAATTAAGGAAGGAAGGAAAGGAGGAAGGACAAGGATAAGAAATTTTTATAGTGTACTTGATCCTTGATTGATAAGAATTATGGATTATTATATTTATATAACTACTTTTTTTAAACATTACTGAATAAGTTTTAGAAATGTGTAGTGGTGTCCATATTTAAGTAAGAAATTAAGTTACTTCCCATGGTTAAAAAAAATGAGCAAGTACATTAAAGTGGGTTAATTCTAGTTCTCTATGAGATTTCAACTCACCAGTGCATAAAAGGGGTTTAATTCTAGTTCTCTATGAGATGTCAACTCCTCAGTGCATAACAGTGGGTTAATTCTAGTTCTTTATGAAATATCAACTCACCAGTGGATAAAAGTGGTTTAATTCTAGTTGTCAAGACTTGACGGAGTCAAAAAGCGAGACATAGGTATGCTGTTTCTGGCGTTGGCGGCTGCTGCGTCGGCAGCTTCAAAAATGTATTAGTTTGTGATTAGGTCTAGTTCAGGGTGAACCACTTGTGAAAGGTCAATGATATTTGGTATGCAGTTGTATAAGTATTGACATATCTCATTTCCATGGAGGGCCTTGCCCCCTCAGTCATGGTCTATTGACTTTGAAACTTTTGCTTAGTTTACATGTATTAGTTTGTGATTAGGTCAGTTTATTAGGAACCACTAGTGGTAGGTCAATGATATTTAGTATGCAGTTGTACAAGCATTGGCATATCTCATTTCCATGAAGATTATTTGGTAGCGCCCCTCAGTCATGGTCTGTTGACTTTGAAACTTTTGCTTAGTTTACATGTATTAGTTTGTGATTAGGTCAGTTTAAAGGGAACCATTAGTGGTAGGTTAATGATAATTGGTATGCAGTTTTATAAGCATTAGCACATCTGATTTCCATGGAGATTATATAGCCCCTCCCCCTGATCATGGTTCATTGACTTTGCAACTTTTACACAGTTTACAAGTTACTGTTTGTGTTGAGGTTTGTTTAAATGAAACGACTTATGATAAGTCAATGGTATTTGGTATGCAATTGTATGAGCATTGGCACATCCCATTTCCATGGAGATTGTGTAGCCCCATACCTTCAGTTATGGTTCTTTGACTTTGAATATTTGCATGACTTACATTTTAAAGTATTGCTATTTTAATTTGAACATTTGCATTATCAAAATAACAAAAAGTGAGACATATCTCTGTGGTAACAGTTTATTCTCTATGAGATGTCAACTTCTCAGTGGATAACAGTGGGTTAATTCTAGTTCTCTATGAGATGTCAACTCACCAGTGACACTATTATAATAAGAGTTGATATAATTTTCATTCACTGTATTTGGAAGAAAGAAGATGATTACATGTCATTTTTTTTTTTTTTTTTTTTTTTTTTTATATATATATATTCCTGAATCAACCATATAGATTCTCTTTCTGCTACAAGTATTTTAACAAAAAATATTTATTGTAGACTCGAGACAGTTAACTTTTAGATTTCAACATGTCACTTTAACAATCAAGAATGGGGACCTATCGTTACACCAACCTATGGGAGAAAATGGTCATCAATAATAATATACAAAATTCTATAAGAAAAAAGATACAACTGATGAAATCTATAGATTTTCAATGTACTTAATGATTAAAAAGACACAATGTACATAAGAAATAGAAGACATTTTCAAATCTATATGAGATATGAGTGTATATGGATGTCTGACAGGTAGTTTTGATATTACCCCACCATTTTAATGTGCATTTTGATCCAATCATACAATTTTGATTGGAAGAGATCCTACTTGAAATTGTAATTTCATTTAATCAACAAATCTAAAACCAGTTGATAGTATCAAGAATTTCTGAAATTGTATGGTTTTGGCTCATTGTTGAAGGCCGTACGGTGACCTATTGTTGTTAATTTCTATGTCATTTGGTCTCTTGAGGAGAGTTGTCTCATTGGCAATAATACCACATCTTCTTATTTTTACATTGATTCTTCAAGTTAACTTTTCAGGTTGCTAAGGTACCTGTAGAGAATTGTGGACAGTATGCCAGTTGTACGACATGTTTAGCTAGTAAAGATCCATTTTGTGGCTGGTGCACCTTGGAAAACAGGTACTATTGCATGCTTATATAGAACACAATTTAGAATATAACTGATCTGTTCAAATATGCTAATATTAAGAATTATTGAAAAATTAAATATTTCTCAATACCAGTATCATTTTATTTTTCAATTATCTAATCCACTACACACTTAAAAATCTAAAACAATAGTACAAACGATACCTCTATTATCCAAGGTAGATAACAAAACACCAAGGCTATTATTCTTTCATGATATCATATGTCTAAAATCTAGCAATTGTACCACAAGAAGTTCATCCAGCACAACTCATAATATCTTTCAATGGAATACCAGTATTAAATGCTGTTAAATGTTGAAGCTCATCATATCCTATGAGATGTCTATGCCTCCTAGCTTAAGCACAATTTTAATCCACATGACAAGGTATCAATATCTCCTCTTATAACTCGGATTCTAAATGCAAATAAACTTCTACAGATTAAAAATATATATTGTTTCATCAAATACAATAGGTTTAAGTTTAAACATATTTTATTTTCGAAATATCACAAGAAGGATTAGACATAAGTTATTCCAACTTAGATCTTCTTCTCCATGGGTTTAAGTAGTTTACTTATATGAAAATAAAAAAATAGTGTTTTAACATCTTTATCCTAAACATAAGGTAGGTAACAAAACTACATTGTATGATTCTTAAGGATATAACATCATTAGAATCCAGATTTAATAAATCAACAAAACTAAATTCTCATTCCAAGTATGTTCATATCTAGGTGCAGAATGTTTAATAGTATATAACGTCACAGTACCCAAATTGCACTGAGTACCCAAATTGCACCTATTTAGCAAAACATTTTTTTTAGAAACTAAACAAAATTGTTCTAAATATTTGAAGAAATAAAACAAAACATCTGATTTACGATTTTTAAGGATGTGAATTTAAGCATAGATGCAATTTGGGTACTCCTCATTACAGAATCATGGATTGTTTGGAGGTCGGTTCAAACCCATTTTTCTATGATTCAATATGGATTCAAAATTAAATTGGTGGAACTATATAGTAAATAAGGATACATCTACAAAATAAACCCAGAATGGAAACTATTGTCTGGATCATAAATAAACGTAGGTGAAAAAACTGTCAAAATAGGTGCAATTTGGGTACCCTCACGTTAACCCTCGCATAAATCTTTTAACCAATGCATGCTGTCCATATTATATACATTAATAACAGAAGAAAATGCAGAACAAACTGGCCAAAAAATCTAAAACATTGGAAAGTGTTAAAATTGTTCTTTGTAGCAAACTTTACCTATTCTTTGAGATAAGTATTATATTGTTTATTCGTTGAATTTCTACAGGATTTCACAAGAACTGAAAGTTTTCTGTTAGATTAGTTGTTAATCTTATTTTCTACGTACTATACACTTCCAATTTCAAAAATTATAGCTATTCTAACTCCTTTACATAGTAATAATACTCCAATAAGTAGTTGGTATGTATTAAACATGCTGAAAAAGATGTTTGGAAAATTTGACTTAGCCATGGTATTTTGACCCCCCTGCCATGGTATATTGAACCCCCTACTATACACCTCTAATTTCAAAAATTATAGCTATTTTAACTCCTTTACATAGTAATAATACTCCAATAAGTAGTTGGTATGTTTAAACATGCTTATAAAGATGTTATGGTATTTTGACCCCGTGTTCACTTTTCAGGGGGTTCAAAATACCATACGACACCGGACACTACACAAATCAATAGTTGATTTTCTTGTTCAATGGGTGCATTCAGTCAGCTAATTTGTTTGAAATTGAATATTTTTAGATTCATTACAAATTATGGTGTTATTCAAAATTTAAGTAATGGGAAATTTTTTCTAGGAAACTATATCTTATCGCTGAAAGATTTGAAAACGTAGGAAGCAAATGCAGCAATAGCCCAATCCAAAAGTTCAAACTGATAAATCTAATGACTTAATAATTAAGTCTGGAGGCAAACAAATCAATATCTTATTTTGATTCCCAATGATTATTACCAGCATTATCAAAAACATTCACTTCTGCTTAAAGTCAAATATTGCACCAATAAGTAATCATTATTTATCTCCATTGTTTAAAAATTACTCCCAATCATGGAATGACGAACAAGTAAGGGGAAATGTACTCTTCTTAAACTGAATCAAGTCAAGCTATTGTTCAAAGGTTGATTTTTGTTGAGCCTGCGACTTTTGTCGCAGAAAGCTAGACATAGGGATAGTGATCCGGCGGCAGCGGCATTAGCTAACTTTTTAAAAGCTTTATATTTAAGAAGGTGGAAGACCTGGATGCTTCATACTTTGTATATAGATGCCTCATGTTACGAAGTTTCCGTCAGTCACATGTCCAATATCCTTGACCTCATTTTCATGGTTCAGTGACTACTTGAAAAAAAAGTTAAGATTTTTTGTAACGTTAAATTCTCTCTTATTATAAGTAATAGGATAACTATATTTGGTATGTGCGTACCTTACAAGGTCCTCATGCCCGTCAGACAGTTTTCACTTGACCTCGACCTCATTTCATGGATCAGTGAACAAGGTTAAGTTTTGGTGGTCAAGTCCATATCTCAGATACTATAAGCAATAGGTCTAGTATATTCGGTGTATGGAAGGACTGTAAGGTGTACATGTCCAACTGGCAGGTGTCATGTGACCTTGACCTCATTTTCATGGTTCAGTGGTTATAGTTAAGTTTTTGTGTTTTGGTCTATTTTTCTTATACTGTATGCAATAGGTCTACTATATTTGGTGTATGGAATGATTGTAAGGTGTACATGTCTAGCTGGCAGGTTTCATCTGACCTTGACCTCATTTTCATGGTTCAGTAGTCAAAGTTAAGTTTTTGAGTTTTGGTCTTTTTTTGTAATACTATATGCAATAAGTCAACTATATTTGGTATATGGAAATATTTTATGATCTATATGTCGGTCACACAGGTTTTATTTGACCTTGACCTCATTTTCACGGTTCATTGCTCAGTGTTAAGTTTTTGTGTTATGGTCTCTTTTACTTAAACTATAAGCAATAGGTCAACTATATTTGTTGTATGGAAGAATTGTTAGCTGTACATGTCTGCCTGGCATGGTTCATCTGACCTTGACCTCATTTTCATGGTTCATTGGTCAATGTTTAGTTTTTTGGTTAATGTTAAGTTTATGTGACAGTTGTAATAAAGCTTTATATTTAGGATTATCAACATAATATCAATGATTAATAAAGAAGGCGAGACATTTCAGCGTGTGCACTCTTGTTTTTCATGTTGATGAAAGTATTAAAAAAAAAACACAGTATGTTTTTCACTGTCACCTATTTTATATGATTATTACAAATCACAATTTGCTTCCACTTCTCTGTTTTTATATGACTGTTTCTTATTCAATGATATGAATTTCAGGTGTACTTTAAGATCAAACTGTTCCATGGCAGACCAAAGCTCAGATCGATGGAAAATTCTGACTGACTGTACTGCTATTGACAACATCTCTCCACCGATGGCTTCCTCAACAGAGGATATTACGGTAACTATGCTTTCTTGTTAAAAATGTGAAGGCTAGGAGAGATCTTGCATGTATCTATTTAAAGTTGAAAACAAACACTTAATAATAATTTAAAAGATTTTTATAGTTACGGAAGGTTCATTAATCAGTTTTCTGGTTTTTGCAAGCAAAAAAATAAAAAGTTGACAAATGTATATCAGAGTGGTCTCCCTGCCAGTACAGTCTATAAAGTGGCACATCATAGATACCTTTTTTGACCAGGTTTACGCTGCTTAAAATATCAATATGTGTGTATAATTTACTAAATTAACCTTGCTTTAGTACCATTTTTTTTTCACAGAAAAATGACAAAATTTCATATGCATTTACCATCACATCCTTGGTTTACAAGATCAATACAAAATTTACCAAACAAAAATTATAGGAAAATCGTAGAACTTTATGTTGTGCAACAGAATTGTTCTGTCACTGAGATGGTATTTATTTCCACATGTTAAATCTAAGATTTGTAAAAATTGCTTAACATTTCTTGTATGATAGGAAAATTGTTGGACTATCTCCAATGCAAAAAAAAAATATAAGTATGAATAAAAGGAGATGTGGAGGTTAGGTCAATGTGGTACTATTCAAAAGAACATACAGTCTTCAACAAAAGACAGGTGTTTATACATATATCAATAGCTGTAAATTGTTCCCAGTCTATGGAAGTTGTGAATGATTATAATAGAAACAATCAGAGATTTGCTGTCAACACTTGTGTATTTCTTGGATTACACTTGTATATTTAATATGATGACAATTATATATATATATGATTTCAGCTGTACATGTCAATCATAGATATACCTCGTGATTCAAACTATAGCTGTGTTTTTGACTTTGGTGACAAAAAAGAAGCCACTCCTGTAAGTTCCTGGAACTTTGGTATCAGCTGTAAAACTCCTCAGATATTTTCTCTTGGTGTGGACTTTGGACCTACAGGTTTGTTAAAAACTAAAGTTTTACTATTCTCATTATAGCATCAAATTGGTATTTTCTACTTTTCATCTTAGAACACGGCATTTAAGAGCTATAGAAAAGACTGTTTGACTCTTTGAAGTCCAAATAAAATATCTAGGTGGTGTGGTATGTTTTCCTGTGGATTTACCTACTGAACTAGCACATTGAAAAACTGGCTCAGTCTGTCAATCAAACACAAAGTATGTTTCACATTAGTATCACATTAACATTATTTATCGGTCGTCCCACTGTCTGTATCACTCTGTTCAACTCTTAATAAAATTGCCTATCACGGCTTTGTGATGTCAGATAAGTTGACCCGGGCAATCGGTCATAAAACTTTACTCAGTACTCAGAGTACGAAACTTGTGCTCAAAACACCAAATCCAGTATTTTGATTGGTTGATTACTGAGTTTGAGTACGATAATCAAGCCAGAAATTTTTATGACCGCTTGGCCCGGCCTTAATAACTTTAACCCGTACATATCACTGACGTCATAATGAATGAACCGATGTTGTTTTACCCAAAATTATCAAGTCATCTTCCGGTTTGCTGGTGAAACAAAGAGAACACTTGTTTCTAGCATGCAAAATATGCAAATACAACCTGATAAATCGATTATCTGGTTGTCTGCATATTTATGCTGTAAAATATCAGCTGCTCGACACAGTATGAAGCCTAGTTGAACTTTTGGCTGCGCTTACTTGACAAAAAGCTTCATATTGTGACTGGCATCTGATATTTTACAATATGAATATGCAGACAACTTAATCCTCGGTACATATCCTAAATATGTTTAACCCCGCTGCATTTTTGCACCTGTCCCAAGTCAGGAGCCTCTGGCCTTTGTTAGTCTTGTATCATTTTTAATTTTAGTTTCCTGTGAATAATTTGGAGTTTAGTATGACGTCAATTATCACTGAACTAGTATACATATTTGTTTAGGGGCCAGCTGAAGGACGCCTTCGGGTACGGGAGTTTCTCGCTGCATTGAAGACCCATTGGTGGTCTTCGGCTGTTGTCTGCTCTTTGGTCGGGATGTTGTCTCTTTGACACATTCCCCATTTCCATTCTCAATTTTATATAATATTTGATGTTGTAAATTAAACATGCACCGAACCATCATATTGTAGCCTCATCCTGAATCTGTTTTTTTGAATTTGTTTTAAAAGACATTAGTTTTCACAATATATTAACTATTGACATATGAAATCAAATTTGAGAATAATTAAAATATTATGCTAGCCAGCATAAGTGGAAAAAAGGCTTCTGATTATATTATACTTAAATTACAATATTACCACGAAATATGATACAGCCTTCAGAGATAAGTTATAAAAGGCATACCTTTGATATTGAAAATATTTAATCTTTTCAGGCAGTAAGAATTCCACATTGTCAATACGATCAGAAGAAACAAAGAAGCTATTTGTGTCAAGATACTTCACATTTTATAACTGTGGAAGTTTTACAAGGTAGTATCAGGATAAAATGTCCAGGAAAATTTACTAAACGTAGAGAAATTTAAAATCTCTTTCCCAATGCTTCTGTTTTGTTGAATTAAGTCCAATTTATCAATCACTATTATTAGCACAGAACTTACAAACAGAAAAATATCTTGGTTAATGTTAATTCAATGGTAAAGAAAAAAATAAGTGTATGTGACAAATTAACCTTGAATGTTGGAATAAAATTCTAACTGACTTTGATTTTTTGATAGTTGATTCAGTTTCAATTTACATTAAGCATGTTAATAAAAGGAGATCTAAGGTATAATACAACTATGAAACAGCAAGCAAAATACAAATCAACGGTACTTGTATGATGAGCTCAATATAGATTGTTATTGGAAGGGTCAGGGGCAAGATATTTATTGTGGTTTGATATGATTTTGATTTTTGGTGTTTTAACGCCACTTTTAAACACCACTTTTGGGCTATTTCGTGGCGGCCAGTTTTTATTGGTGGAGGAAGCCGGAGAAAACCGCTGACCTTCGATAGGAAAACTGACAATCCTAGTCAATTAAGATTGCAGTTGAGTGCACCCGCACGAGCGGGGTTCGAACTCACAACCTCAGTGTTGACTGGCTAGTGATTACAGTAGTGACTACTTAGACCACTTGGCCACTGAGGCCCCTATTGTGGTTTGAAAAATAAATTTTAAATTAATGTATACAATGACAAAAACATATTTCATTGAAACAGTAAAAATTTGTTTAAAAGAGTAAGAACTTGCTTGTCTTGCAACTGATTTTTTAATGCGGTGAAGTAGGTATCAAAATCTCATTCCATGGAAATGACCAGAATATTGACATTCTCTAAAATTGAATTTATTTGTTTGATACTTTACATTTCAGTTGCACATCATGTACAGATAATAATTATGCTTGTGACTGGTGTATCTATCAGAATAAGTGTACCTTCAGGACCAACCCTTGCAAACATCTGACTATTTTTAGCCGTAATGTATGTATTGAAAACACATTTATATTCGATGTGTATGTATGTTTGTCATGTTGGTGTTGTATTTGTGTCAATATAAAGTCGTTAGCACACAGACCCAATGTATACATTATATGTGTTGTTTTTTCATACTAACATAACTTGTGAAGCTAGTAAAATAAAAAAAATCATTCCAAGAATTACAAATACACATCTATTTTAAAAATTTATCAAATGTGTATTCATGTTTGTGGTTTGTGGAGAATTAGAATATATAGTACATTTTTTGTGTATTTAATTTCATGTTTTTTCTACTTGGTAATCTGTATATACATATATATATTTCCTGTTGTTTGTGGAAATTTAATATTGAAAAATGATTTGACTTATTTAAATATGTTTGGTTTAGCTATATAAAATACCCCAAAATTTTATTTTAGTTAAGATAATCCAATGTAATACTTGTGCACAGTTCACAAGACATTTACATACACATAAAGTATGGATTATTTGTAGAATATTGGTTACATGTTATTATTTTCATTTCCTTCTTTACAATTTTGTTATTGAAGAATTCTGTTTCATTCATCAAGTCTTTTGAAAAACTTTAAAAAGGGACATTTTAGAAATATTCATGTTTGATATATACAAATAATGTAAAGAGTCAAAATTGGTATTTCTAGCAGAAAGCAAATAATGTGTATAATCTTGTTTCAACCCGTTCACAGATTTTTGAATATGATCCCGCTAACCATACCGAAGCTAACTACACAGTCGTAAGTTTCTGCATAATAGAGCATTTATAGTATACTCTGCACACAGGGATTTGGTGTTAATTTCACTCGTATGTTTCTAGACAAGATAAACAAAAAGGAATGGTTCATCAATTTTGATTGAAATTTGAAATTTCTGCATGGTTCTGAATTTATATATACAGAGTATGATATTATACCTGGAGAGTTTTGTCTGCATTATTTAAAAAAAAAAGATATCTGCTTGTAATAAGCTTTTTTTTCAATATGGCTTAGAATGTGTATCATTACTGCTTGAAATATTAAATGCTGTATTTACTTGCATGTTACTTCTGTAACCTTGTATTCCTGAAGGTTGTGTGCAACTTGTAAAATAAAAAGAAAGAACGAATCTCCCAATGGAACCTTCATTTAATTTTCTGAGAGTCTGCATCTATGTCTGTCTCTTGAAAAAAAAAAATAAAAATATCAGACCCAGAGATTAGTTCACTGGCTTTAGTAGTGCTTATTTGCTTTTGTCTGTGATAGTGTGAACATTTATAAACTGTTTTGAATTTTTTCACCAAAAGTGCAGAATGTTTGGCAAAAGTTCAGTCGCTTGATAGTTTCTTTAGTCGGTGAGAAATGTTTTTGCCTAATTGTGAGCTAGTTATGATCTAGGCTCTATAATTCTAACTTGTATTTTAGAGTTGATACCAAGAAATGAAGCACAATGATCGCAACCACTTGTAGTTGATTTAAAAATTCCACAGATGCTTTCACTAAATAGAAATACAAAATAATTTAGATTTTTTCTAAGTTTGAAGAAGCATGGAATGTCATGCCAAGTAGTAGAACTAGTCTCCATCCTGTATCAAATCATAAACGTCTTGTACAGAAAAATTCCCAATAACCGTGGTGATCTTGTTCAGTAGAAACCTAAGTAGTCTAGGATATGATACTAAATATATAACCATCAAGCTGAGTAAAAGTTTAAGAGCTGAAGTAGTATCTTGTAACACATTCAAATTGATGAAACATTGAACGTCCATCTGTAATATTAAGTCAGTATAAAATCAAGAGACGTGGAAGGATTGCAAATGATGTGGATGTAAAACCCTTTTATAGCATAAAAATACATAGGTGTTTTCACAAGATGACATTTTTATGAAATAATTATCATGAACACAAAGCCTGAAGTGAAGATCTTGCATCCACTTTAAAGTATGAACAAAATAAAAGTTGAGGTTGGAAATGTGAAACACTCTTTAATTTTGTGTATGAGCTGACTTTTCTTTTCTTTACAGGGATTGTGAATTCTACCATTTATGCTTATGCTCATATATATAAAGCTTGTACCATATATATTTTCTAGATAAAAAGTATGCTCTTTTTACCCCCTGGGTACATTTATCCAGTAAGTACTGAAATGGACAATACCTCAGTCTTCATCTTGTAACAATGTCAGTATCTTCTGATGTAACATATATAATAAGTGATCATAATCTTTTAAAAACTCTTCATTACATTTTAGCGTTTCTTTAGTTGAACTTTTTTGACAATATTACTACAAATGTAAACTCAAAATACTAATGTACATTATGCTTAATATCACTGTATTTAAGATTCTTGCCATAAAAATTAGCTTAGCTAAAGTTGTGATCTTAACTAAGTTTTTCAACACTTATGTTGAAGTGACTTCCTTTTCTATCCTAACTGCTCTTTTTTTTCGTTTTCTTTTTTGTGATTTTAAGAAATCTTTATTTTACTACAACCTCTTTGTGCTATTTTTATACGGCCGCAAAAAAATTTTGCGGTCGTATATTGGTATGACGTTGGCGTCTTCGTCGTCGTCGTCGTTGTCCGAAGACACATTGGTTTTCGCACTCTTACTTTAGTTTAAGTGAATGGATCTCTTTGAAATTTTACCATAAGGTTCAATACCACAAAAGGAAGGTTGGGATTAATTTGGGGGTTATGGTACCAACAGTTAAGGAATTAGGGGTCAAAAAGGGGCCAAAAATAAACATTTTTGTAACTTCCAGATATAACTTGTGTGTTAGTGTATGGATCTCTCTGACATTGTACCACAAGGTTCCATATCACAAAGGGAATGTTGGGATTGATTTTGGGGGTAATTGCCTCAAAATTTTAGGAAGTAGAGGCCAAAAAAGGGGCAAAAAACAAGCATTTTTCTAGTTTCATGAAAATAACTTGTGTGTAAGTGTATGGATATTTCTGAAATTGTACTACAAGGTTCCATATCACAAAGGGAAAGCTGGAATTGAGTTTGGGGGTAATTGCCCAAAATGTTTAGGAATAAGGGGCCAAAAATAAGCATTTTTCTAGTTTCCAGACAATAACTTGTGTTCAAGTGTATGGATCTCTCTGAAATTGTACTGCAAGGTATCATACCACAAAGGGAAGGCTGGGATTGAGTTTGGGGGTAATTGCCCTAAATGTTTAGGAATTTGGGGCCAAAAAGGTGCCTAAAAACAAGCATTTTTCTAGTTTCCAGACAATAACTTGTGTTCAAGTGTATGGATCTCTCTGAAATTGTACTGCAAGGTACCATACCACAAAGGGAAGGCTGGGATTGAGTTTGGGTGTGATGAATCATAAGGGGGTTCAAAAAATTTGGGGGAGGGATTTTTTTTTCTTTAAAATTTTCCATTTTAAATTGGTTATTTCTGATTTATATATAAAAGCAAATAATAATGATATGGTTTGAATAGGTAAATTAAAATTTTTTAAGTTCTTAGACCACATTCATTCTGTGTAAGAAACCTATGCTGTGTCAATTATTTAATCACAATCCAAATTCAGTGCTGTATCAAGCTTGAATGTTTTGTCCATACTTGCCCCAACTGTTCAGGGTTTGACCTCTGCGGTCGTATCAAGCTGCACCCAGCAGAGCATTTTATTGTTAAATAGCCTAGTAAGAATTTTCAAATTTGAAAAGTCCTGCTTAGTATTGATATTAGCATACTATCATTAATGTACAAAAATATACTGGCTAGATTTTCATGTAGTGATAGACAATACTTGTAAATTTAATGAATCGACTAAATTAAATATGAGCAGGAAATAATTAGAAAATAGGAGTATTAATGATTATTCCATTTCTAAAGAATTTTCATTTCAGGGTAAAATATAAATAGAACACTGTTCTTAACCTTTAATAAGTTCTTTTCATGTTTTCTTAGCAAATCTATGGTGATGGAATAAGAAGAGGTCCAACATTTTGTCCAAAAATCGACAAAGGCCGAAATGGTGATGTCTACATACACAACAATACCAGCAAAGAATTCATCATCAATGGGACTTCTTTTCCTGAGATTAGAGTAAGAATTCAATAATCAATCAACAGTTGAAGACTAGTATCAATTATGCTGAATATTAAGTATAAGGTATATTGCAGGGGCAGATCCAGGGTAGTAAATTGTTAGTCATATTAATGATATACAATAATATCCCCTCCCCCCTCCAAAAATATATATATATATTTCCGAACAAAGGGAGGCATATGCCCTCTGCTCTTTAATCGATCACTGTATTTTTGGAAAATTTGAAAGGTGCATTTATTAAATTTTTTTTGGGTAATTAATAGATTCTAAGTTGTTGATATTAGGTGTGGTGTTCTGCATTTTATATGCATAATATTTGTGAAAGATAAAATTAAAATGAATAAATGTGTGATAGATGTACATTCCAGAAAGGTTTAAAACAGTTAAGAGTTATCTGAAGATAAGGGCAATGAAATGGTTACTTCTAGTTTGAGGACCAAGTTCCATATAGGCTAAAGTAGCAAGGAGTGTTTTTTTTTTTTTACACTCTTGCTATGGTAGAGTTCTTAAAATTGATCAAAGGACAGTCAGACATTTCGTCAAACAAATTAAAATGATTCATCTGACAAAGATGCCAACCCCCTTTGTTGCAATCAGTAAAAAAGTATTAAGATTTCAGTAATTTGTGATTTTTTTCAGTAATAATTTTTTTATAAATTTTATAATAATCATACTAACAACTAGGCAAACAGTGACAAATAAGACTTCCTTTCTTTATTATGACAATTACCATTCAAAGTTGATGAACAAGTGAGTAAAACGGACCATCGCGCTGAATGGAAGTCTTGTTCACAAAATATTTGCAAAAGGCTCCGGTTTTCAATTTCCTTGTCCCAGTTTTCTTTCCTTACTGCAGAAATTCAATTGTTCCATCAGACATCGGTCTTGCCAATTTCATTAATTATTCGGAATTGTACAAGAAACGTATATATCTCTTTCTACTATAGATAGTCCTGAGAAACCTGAAATAATTTAATAATCTGATATTACGCAAGCCCTGATTGTTACAAAATTAAAACAAAAAATAAAGCATCACATTGATCAAAATGATATCTAAACAGGGAACTGTTCCAGAGAGGCAATAAACGAAAATCCCTAACAAGTAGACTGTTCATTGTAACACCGTAGTTTTTTTCCAAAATTCATAACAATTACTGGTAAATCATAACAGTTGGCATCTATGATCTGACCAACAAAACAATCTGTTGGATGGAGAAAAATTTAAGGAAAAATCTGTTATCAGTAAAATTTCGGAGAAATAAAATGAATTCTCTGATACTGTTTTTGATTTACACTCTGTATCTGGTATTTAGTGCATGCCTACAGAAAATAACAAGAAAATCATAACGTTTTCAAAGAATTTTCTTGATTTTTGTTTAGGATAAATTGTGGAAGTTTAGTTTAACAGAAAAAGTTAGCAGATACAATATTTAAGGTTATATCAAAATGAATGTGGCAACAAAAGCAATATTGAAACATGTTTTTATTTTGAATTTTGCACCTGGACATTGAATCAAACATTTTTGATACCGAACATTTGTGCTGGTACATGGCCAATATTTGTCCAAGTCACAGCAAATATGTTGGATTTTTTAGATGGTTGGCATATTTTGTGAAGTTATCCTGCAATGTTGACTATTTGTGCAGGATGGTCAATGGAAAGGTTAAGAAGTCAGCAAAACAACAGTTTTTACCACGTGGTACATATGAGGCATCATCATGCTAATGAAAGTACAAGACATTTTACTTGTCATTTTGTACAGATATTTAGTTCCATCATTGTGAAACTGTCAACATACAGAATTGCCGATCCTTACTGCATGTCATTATTATTACAAAATTACTTTGCATTCCATATTTGTACAAAACAATTTGCCCAGGAACTAAGGTTGAGCTTATTTTATTTGTTTTTGTACAACTTAAGATACTTCAAAGTATACAGCACCCTTACTGACATGTAAGCTATATGGTTTATTGATTAATTTGAGACAAATAATATTACTTTAAATTCAGAAATAATGGCGAAGTTTTTATTAATGCGAGTAATGCGACTTGGTGAATATAGCAATAATAAGAACTCGCATTCTGATATCTTATACATATATCTGTATGCAGATTTTTTTGAAATCGCAATAATAAATCTCGCATTTTTGTTCACTCTTCAAAAATCGCAATAATAAATGCACACAATAATTTCTGAATTTACATTATACAGTAATTTTTTTTACAGTTATGAGGGATATTGTCGTTTTATTTTTCCCAGACACTGACTATTTCCCAATGCCAAGATGTTTGCATCTGGGAAACTATTGTGCCTAGGGAAAGTAGTCCCTGAAACTCTTCATTTTATCCATATTTGATTTTATATAGAAAATACATATTGAAGTATAATAACATTAAATAGTCTTGGTTTTCAGCATGATTGGTATACTGTGGATTCATTTATTTTTAGTTTTGAATTTTGATCAGTGTTAATTAAATAGATGGTATATACTTTAAATATTTACAGGATGGGAATGGTTATAAATGCATAATTGGAACAGGTGCTTATAGTAATGGGAACATTGAGGCTGTTGCTACCAGAGTGTCAGAGAGCCAACTTAAGTGTCAGGTTCCATTAGTATGTATTTAGCTGCTTTATATTATCTGCATGTTTTATTCATCATTAAACTTTTTAAATGATAAAGTGGACAAAAAAGTTTTTTTTATCTACATCTCAGAAGATTTGATTTGATTTTGATTTTTGGTGTTTTAACACCACTTTGAGGCACCGCTTTTGGGCTATTTCATGGCGGCCAGTTTTTATTGGTGGAGGAAGTCGGAGTGCCCGGAGAAAACCGCTGACCTTCGATAGGAAAACTGACAATCCTAGTCAATTAAGATTGGAGTCGAGTGCACCTGCACGAGCGGGGTTCGAACTCACAACCTCAGTGTTGACTGGCTAGTGATTACAGTAGTAACTACTTAGACCACTTGGCCACTGAGCCCCCTACATCTCAGTAGAAGTTTGTGAAATAAAAGGATAGTAGCTAAGCTATCAATGTGTATCTTGGTGTACACAGTCTGGATTAATTTATATAAAATGTTGAAAAAGGATAATGGCATGCTAAGATATGAAAATAAGGAGATATGGTAAGATTGCCAATGAGAAAACTATCCACCACAGTTCAAATAAAGTGGATGTAAGCAATTATAGGAAACTGTATTGCCTTCAACAATGAGAAAAAACCCATACCGTACAGTCGGCTATAAAAGGCCCTGACATGAATAATATGAAACAATTCAATTGAGAAAACTAACCGCCTAATTTATAACAACAATTTACAAAAAACAAATATGACAGGCATGAACCAATGACAACCACTAACTTCAGGATCCTAATTTTAAGAAGTTGACTTTGAGTGGGCAGTAGTTTATTGTCCCCTGCGTAACGCATTGCGGGGGACATGGAAATACTGGGCGTCCGTCCATCCGGTCTTGTTAGCGCTCTCACGGGTACAATTCTTGCCAGATTTTTATAAAACTTATACTATAGGTAAATATCAGCAATATCTGGGACAAGTTGTACAATGGTGGACGATCGACTTTTTTTAAAAGAGTTATGCCCCTTGGAAATATTAGATTTATGGAAAATGGCCTCGTTAGCACTCTCACGGGTACAATTCTTGCCAGATTTTTATAAAACTTATACTATAGGTTAATATCAGCAATATCTCGGACAAGTTTTATAATGGTGGATGATCGACTTTTTTTAAAAGAGTTATGCCCCTTGGAAATATTAAATTTATGGAAAATGGCCATGTTAGCGCTCTCATGTGTACAATTCTTGCCAGATTTTTATAAAACTTATACTATAGGTTAATATCAGCAATATCTCGCACAAGTTCTTTAATGGTGGATGATCGACTTTTTTTAAAAGAGTTATGCCCCTTGGAAATATTAAATTTATGGAAAATGGCCATGTTAGCGCTCTCATGTGTACAATTCTTGCCAGATTTTTATAAAACTTATACTATAGGTTAATATCAGCAATATCTCGGACAAATTTTATAATGGTGGATGATCGACTTTTTTTAAAAGAGTTTGCCCCTTGGAAATATAAAATATGTGCAATGAGGGAGACATTGGAACTCTGTTATTAACATTTATTTTTGGATTTTTTTATTGTTTTTTTTTAGAAATCTTATGGACTACCAGAAAATGGTATCTTGAACGCCAGTCTCAGAGTGACATGGGGTAATGGAGCAGAAATAGAAAATGATGGGGCTACAGGTGGGATATGATATCAATAATTAAATTGATAGCAGTAATTCCTAGCTAACGGTTTACATACTGTTGTTTTTTTAAAATTCTGAATATGTGTTTATAGGGGAACCTAAATATGAAAGTTTTACCCTACGTTTCAATTTTTATCTTATTTTTATACTTAAAATTCATCTTAACTTTTGATTTTTTAATGTGCAGAGAAATTCAATGAATCTTTTACATAAGAAATCATGTGTGTATATATATATATATATATATATATATAAGTCTGAAAATTACACCCAACAGTGTTAGAATTAGACTTTTATGCTGACAAATTTTTGTCCCTCAACGGGATTCGAACTCACACCTTTGATACAGTACAGCACCAATTGCTTAGCCTCATGTCCAGCGCTCTAGACCACACGACCACATCAGCTATATAAAAATATAACTTCAATAGTCGTAGTGTTACCTTGTCACGTAAGGCGAATCTAGAGATAGACATAAGACATGTTTAAATTTATGGAAAATGGCCATGTTAGCGCTCTCATGTGTACAATTCTTGCCAGATTTTTATAAAACTTATACTATAGGTTAATATCAGCAATATCTCGCACAAGTTCTATAATGTGTTTATTATATATATATATATATATATATATCTATACTATTAAATTGGAGACCAAAATTTTTTAGCCGGTTTGTCTCCGAGCCGATGATCGTCTGAAGTATTATATAATAATAAATAGTAAGTGTATGTAATGTACTTTATAACTTCATGTAGTAATTGCTTTAATTAGCGTAAATAATTAATTAAACCCCAAATAAAGTTCCGTAGCTGATTCCTTACCGTCTACGTTTTGTAAGCAGGCGGAATTGGTTTTGTATTCAATTTGTCTTGAATTTATACAACTCGGCCCACAGCCAACTCGCCCAACTCAAACACTCTCACTAATTATTACAACTTGCATCACTTTATCAAACTCGTACCGCTCAAAATAAGAAAAACAAATATAACAAACTCGAAGAACCTATTAACTATTAAAATTGGAGACCAAAATTTTTTTTAGCCGGTTTGTCTCTAAGCCGACAATCGTCTGAAGTATTATATAATAATAAATAGTTAGTGTATGTAATGTACTTTATAACTTTATATAGTAATTGCTTTTATTAGCGTAGCTTAGTTAATTAAACCCCAAATAAAGTTCTGTAGCTGGTTCCTTACTGTCTACGTTTTGTAAGCAGGCAGAAATTTGTTTTGTATTCAATTGGTCTTGAATTTATGACAACTCGGCCCACGGCCTACTCGCCCAACTCAAACACTCTCACTTATTATCACTTACATCACTTTATCAAAATTGCACCATTCAAAGAAAAAAAAAAAAAAAAAAAAATATAACAAACTTGAAGAAATGTGTTTAATCATTAGATTGTTTTCTTCTTCTCTTAGTAAATTCCTCCTTTCTCGGAGCACCCGTGTCACACAGAGACAGAACTCGCACCACTCGAAAAAAAAATACTACAAACTCACACCACTGAAGAAATGTTTTAAATCATCATCTAAATTGTCTTCTATGAGTTATTTCCTCCATTCTTGGAGCACCCATATCACACAGAGACAGAACTTGACTCGCACCTTTCGAAATACTACAACTAGCACCATTGAGAAATGTTTTAATCATCAGTGTTCTAGGTTGTCTTCTTCTTCTCTGAGTTAGGGCCGCGCCGAATGGCGGACGCCCTATAGTGATCAGTCCGTCTGTCCGTAACAAATTGTGTCCGCTCTATATCTAGAGAACAGTAGTCTTCAAGCCGCGCTTGCACAGGTTTTTTTCTAGCAACTCAAAGATATGTGTTTTATCATTAGATTGTTTTCTTTTTCTCTAAGTAAATTCCTTCTTTTTCGGAGCGCCCGTGTCACACAGAGACAGAACTCACACCACTCATAAAAAAAAAAAAAAAATACTACAAACTCACACCACTGAAGAAAAGTTTTAAATCATCAGAGAGGTCTAAATTGTCTTCTTTTATTTATTTTCTCCGTTCTTGGAGCACCCGTATCACACAGAGACGGAACTTGACTCGCACCTTTCGAAAAAAAAAAAGAAGCTACTAATTGGACATTCAAACTCCTATGGAAGAAGAACTGACAAACTAATCAAAACTATCAACATAATGCACCAGTGCATAAAAACAGTTTGAGAAACACGAACCCAAGCTGTGTATCACCATAAACATTTCAAGTAGTCTTCAACTCACGCTAGCACGGGTTTTTTCTAGTACATATATATATATATATATATATAAGAAAGTCTAAATTGAAAACAACGTTCAAACCTATGATTGCGTTGGATATATATATATACAAGTCTAAATTGAAAACAACGTTCAAACCTATGATTGGGTTGGATAAAAACCGCTATTTTTATACGTGTGCATGCAAAACAAATTTCTTGGTAGAGGGGTCTAAATACAGCACAAACAACATTTTCCAAAATGAGTGAAAAAGTAAATTTTAACAAAACGCATTTCACTAGCAGGTCGAACAACTGATGTTCTTAAACCCTGCTGACTGCCATTGGCGATTGCCAAATAAACGGATCACAAGATGTAACAAAATAGATCTTATCATTAATTTATTACCAAACAGAAAACAATAAACTTGCGGAAAAGATGGTATACCGCAAACATGAAGTGCAAAAATTTGTACACCATATCTGGATTTCGACAATTAATGTCTCTTCAGTGATGTTAGGAATCGAAACAGTATTTGGAAGGCCATATACTTTACCTCAATTTAGGATAGACTCTTGAATTTTGAAAGAGTCAAAATAGGATGAACGGATCATATAAACCCAAAGGCAAATATAATACAAGCCCAAACGAAAAAATATAAACAAGTCTAAATTGAAAACAACGTTCAAACCTATGATTGCATTGGATAAAAACTGCAATTTTTATATGTGTGCATGCAAAACAAATTTCTTGGTAGAGGGGTCTAAATACAGCACAAACAACATTTTCCAAAAGACCAAATGAGTGAAAAAGTATATTTTAACAAAACGCATTTGACTAGCAGGTCGAACAACTATATATATATTAAAGTCTAAAGATTTGCTCAAGGGTACTGATATAAGATGGTAATATACAAAGATGATGTTATAAAATCGTGTTGACAAATATTTTGGCTAAACTTATAGCCTCTGTCAGTGTCAATAATTTTAACAATACTAGTAGTTGATGTTTGATGAGGTTCAAGATTTTGGATTAACTAAATAGTTCAAAATTTTATTGTATTACTGAGCTATTTTACATATACAACTAGTATTGTTAAAATTATTGAATATAGATACTATTTTTCGTTTTTACAGTTCTGTAGATGTTACATACATACATGTAACATCTAACTGTAAAACAGAAAATAGTATTAACATTCTTACTTGTGGAACTTGCAAGCTGCAATATGTTGGCAAAACAGAAACTTAATTCAACATCAGAAATAATAATCACTCGTCATTTTATACCAAAGGAAGAAACTGCCCAATCACGAGACACCTCTTCAGAACAGGACATACTTTTGAAACTATCACCTTTCAAATAATAGAGGTCAACACTCAAAGTAGAAAACAGAGAGAGAGATTTTGGATGCATCAGCTACGTACTCTTGAACCTGATGGGATTAATGAGAGAGATGGAAAAAAACAGTTTTATCAAAAAACCAAAGGAATAAATCTTGAACTTCATACTATTTAACTAACACAATTATTGTCCCCCTTTTAACGAATTGCGGGGGACATGGAAATATCTGGCGTCCCTCTGTCAATCCGGCTTTGTTAGCCCTCTCACGTGTACAATTCTTGCTAGATTTTTATGAAACTTATATCATAGGTTTTAATTAGCAATGTCTTGGACGAGTTTGAAAATCAGTGCCAATCAATTATTTTTAATAGAGTTATGCCCCACGGAAACATTAATTATATTGAAAATTGCATCGTTAGCGCTCTCATTTGTACAATTCTTGCCAGATTTTTATGAAACTTATATCATAGGTTTATATTAGCAGTGTCTTGGACGAGTTCGAAAATCAGTGCAGATCAATTATTTATAAAAGAGTTATGCCCTTGAAAATATTGATTATATGGAAAATTGCAATGTTATCGCTCTCATGTGTTCAATTCTTGCCAGAATTTTATGAAACTTGTATCATAGGTTTATATCAGCAATGTCTTTGATACTTTTGAAAATAAGTTCTGATCAAATATTTTTAACAAGTTATGCCCTTTGGAAATTTAATTTAGTAACTACTTCACTTTATTTTTCATACTGATCCACGCCTTGATAGATAGAATGTTGATTGTTGCTACTTTTATGCTATATCCTACAAAATTGTAGTATTTACATTAAAAGTTTCTGCTAGAAATGTAGTAAAATTAAATTTATAGTAATACATAACAATTATATGCAGTTTAGTTCATTTTGTACTTTCAGTGAAAATATACAGCTGTTCCAAAATGGCTCATGGTGATTGTAGTCTGTGTAAGAATTTTGAGCAGTCTCGTGCATATCTGAATTGTCAATGGTGTGACAATCCATTGCAATGTGAATACAAGGATTACTGTTCTGCAGTGGGAGCTGTTGCAAGGTGTCCAGGTCCACAGATTGATAAGGTTAGTTAAATATGAAAATGCATTTGACAGTCAACTGAAGTAACTAAAGTTTTAAATGATCATCCAGGTTTCAACTTAATAAAATATAATAAAAGTGAGAATGAATAAAATATAATAAAAGTGAGAATGGAAACGGGGAATGTGTCAAAGAGACAAAAACCTGACCAAAGAGCAGAAAACAGCCCAAGGCCACCAATAAGTCCAACACAGCGAGAAATTCCCACACACGGAGGCGGGCTTCAGCTGGACCCTATACAGAAATGTGTACTAGTTCATAGAAAATGGACGTCACACTAAACTCGGAAACATATAAATGAATCGAAATTAAAAAAACATGCAAGACTAACAATTGCCAGAGGTTCCTGACTTGGGACAGGAGCAAAAATGCGGCGGGAATAAACATGTTTTGTGAGATCTCAACCCTCCCCCTATACTTCTAGCCAATGTAGAATAAACAAACACATAGCAATACGCACCGTAAAACTCAGTTTAAAAGAAGTCTGAGTCCGATGTTGGAGTAGGTAACAGAAGAAACTAAGCAAAATGACAATGATAACATAAATTAACAAAGGACTACTAGCAATAACTGACATGCCAGCTCCAGACCTCAATTAAACTGATTAAAAGATTATGTCGTCTTCATATGAAATCAAGCACAATCCCTTCCTTTAGGGGTTTAGTATCATACCATCATAAAATATACGAGAAGAACATAACCCGTATCATGCCAACAACTGGTTTTAGAAGAAATGTGTATTTCCGATGCGCTCATATCAGAAACTTCCTACATCCCTTTGTTGTAACTCTGAATTACCCTTCCTTATTATGATCTTCTTAAAATTTGTGTTTGCTCTCTAAAGGTTCTTTTACGTATTGTGGATTCATTATTATTTATGGGATTCCAGTTTTCATGGATTCCAAGGGGACAGGTAAACCACAAATTTAAATGTTTAACAAATTACAAATTTCTTATAGACTTGTATGTAAACTTTAGCAAAAGCATGAAATCAAATTTCAGACAAATGCAAGTTTTCCTCAAACCATGAAAATTAATTCCTAAGGAAAAAAATGAATCCACAGTATTAAGATATTGAAATTGAAGCCATGTTTTCAGGGGATTTCTGAATGTTATCTTCAGTGTGTTTATATCTTGTTTGACCTTCATTTTTTGTGAAAAGGTTTATTGTCATGTTATTTAGGATGGGGATGTGGTGAGATTTGGCATTTTATCTTTTCCTTTATGTTTGGCCATGAAGTAGATGAGCTTGCTATCTAATGTTCCTTCAATTGAAATGTCTTACTTTAATCTACATTTGTCTGTGTTTGTTTCTTTTGTATGGTCATGGAAATTTAGAGTATTTTTACATAATTCACAACTAATTGATACAGTCAATACTAATTGTGTCGAACTTGGTTGTGTCAAAAACTTGCAGGAGTCAAAGTAATTTCTCGGTCCCAGTAAATTCCTGTTTGATCGTTGCATTTCAACCACTGATGAATCAAACTCTGTTGATTTGAATTATCGGTTAAATCGAATAAATTTTATAGTCCCATCGATGTAAAATTAATGTAAATTGACCCCGATGTCTCGAAGTTCGAAAGTGAGAAATTTCAAAAAATGCAGACATATATATAAATTTGGATGTTTTTCTTAAGTAACCTAATCATTTTTATAAGTAATTAAAGCTGTGTAAACAAAAAACTTGTTTGTTTAACAGTAAAAATGACATGTTTATGGGGACCAGTAATTAACACCTTTGTTAAATGTCCAAGCAGAACTTTAGTATGCTGAACATATTTCACCTGATATAAAAATGAAACGAATTTAAAAGACCCAAGCCGAGATTAAATGAATCGTTGAAAATAGAATTCATTAAATAGCAATAATTAAAAGGATTATGACAATTTACAATAATTGAATTCAAAACGGACAACAACCCTTATCAGTGATCCTTCATGACTTGTTTCATTCTTCGAGTGATTCCATAATTTATAGTGACTGACCTTTGTAAATATTTGTGTATTGATTTTAAGTGTGAATTTTTTGTATCTGTTTTTCTGTGTTAATGATGGACCAAACAAATATGATGCTTGAATACATGGCAATCATAAATTGTCTTATCTAAAAAGAAATGCACACTGTTCAAAATGTCTAGTTAACACAAATCTCATACCATATTTCATGCATTCTAAATTTATGAAAACAAAATCGACCTCAGATGAGTCAAACCTTGGATAAGTTGAATACTTTCGTCTAGTTCCTTCGGCTTGGACTTAAAGAGTTTCGACTGTATATGAAATTATGTATGTGTTGTAGGTATCACCGATGGTGGGCCATGTTTATGGAGGTACAATAGTGACAATTAAAGGAAGAAATCTTGGTGCTGAATTAGCTGATGTACAAAATAACGTGACAATTGCTGGAGTAGCCTGTGTTCCCGTTAGAGAGCTGTATCAACCTGCCAGAGTGTAAGTCAACTACTCCGAGTAATTTATCTCTGTAAATAGCTATGATTAACTTCTACTAAACATTAAAACCAAGCTGCTAGAGTGTAATTCAACTACTTGAGTAACGTATCATGTAAATAGTCATGATTAACTTCTAAGCATCAAAACTGACCTGACAGAGTGTAAGTCAACTACTCAGAGTAATTCATCACTGTAAATAGCTATGGTTAACTTCTATACATTTAAACCAGCATGTCAGAGTCTAAGTCAACTACTCAGGGTAATTTATCACTGTAAACAGCTATGATTAACTTCTAAACATTAAAACCAGCATGTCAGAGTGTAAGTCAACTACTCAGAGTAATTTATTTTTGTAAATAGCAATGTAATTTCTTAACATAAAAACCAACCTGCCGAAGTGTAAGTCAGCTACTCACAGTTATTAAATTTATCACTGTAAATAGCTATGATTTACTTCTAAACATTAAAACCAACCTGCCAGAGTGTAAGTCAACTACTCTGAGTAATTTATCTCTGTAAATATCTCTGATTATCTTCTGAACATTAAAACCAAGATGTCAGACCTATAGAAAAGCACTGTATGGGCAAAAGCTCTTGTTATATATAATATAAATAGTTTCAGAAGATCCTCAAAAAATGGAAAAAATAGTTATAGAAGAGAGGCGAAAGATACCAAAGGGACATTCAAACTCATAAGTCGAAAGTAAACTGACTGCCATGGCTAAAAAAGAAAAAGACCAACAGACAAACAATAGTACACAAAACACAACATAGAAAACTAAAGACTGAGCCACACAAACCCCACCAAAAACTGGGAGTGATCTCAGGTGCTCCGGAAGGGTAAGCAGATCCTGCTCCACATGTGGCACCCAACGTTTTGCTCGTGTTAGTACAAACCAAGTAATAAGTCTAAATCGGTAGGTCACATTCGGGGAAAAGGGGACGGAATTGTAGTTTGGAACATATCCGCTATCATCTGTGAAACAGAAAATTCCATAATGGTCAACCAACTCGTGATGGTGTCCATAACATTTACAAAGGGATGATTTCAACTTCACCACTCTTAGTTTAATAGGTTCCTTGTGAGCAGCAACCCTCTATCAAGGAAATCATGATAGGAAATACAAGCCCTGGAATATCGTATCAACTGGGAGATATGTATGCAGGCGCTGCTGGAATGTTGCTCCATAGAAATGGAAAGTTCACAATTGGAAAGCTGAAATCATCTCTTTTGTTGTAAAGTTTTGTTTTCAACCAACCCTCATTGTCAATTTATAGATGTAAGTCAAGATATGAGGCAGACTCAACTGTATCTGTTGTATCCTTTATCTCAAGTTCAATGGGATAGATGCATTCAACATAGTCACCAAATTTTGAATTATTTAGTGAGAGAACATCATCTATATAGCGGAAAGCAAAGTTTAAGGATACTGCTAACTTCTTTTCTTTCTTCCTTCCAAAGAAGTTCCTGTATGAAGTCAGCCTCATATGAATAAAGGAACAAGTTGGCAAGAAGAGGGGTACAGTTGGTTCCCATAGAAGTTCCTCATAATATGGAAGCAGATGCTTCAATCGGATAGGAATAACCTGTTTTTGAGATTGACGATCAATTTAGCAATTAAAAGCTATTGTATTTTTTATGTGATGGTGATTGTCATTAATCAAGAATCCAAGAAATTGTTTTAGTTAATGCAGAGAACATAACTACTCTAGACCTTAGATATAATCAAAACAAAATATTTAATGTATTGTGTTTAATAACTGAATATAGTTTGATTATTTCCTATACTCTGTGTATTATCTGTTATACTTACTTTTCATTATATCGGTTTTAATTATTTTACAGGATAGTTTGTATGCTGGGAGCCAGTGATGCAGGTGTTAAAAAGGGACACATAGCGGTTCTTAACATACCATTCTATCAGTTTGAATTTCAATATCTGGTAAGTTGTAAACTTGAAAGTATTTAGAGATTTCATGTCAGTTAATGATATTGATGTTTGTTTAAATAATAAAGCTTTTCTTATTTATTGTTAGAATTATTGATGTATATATATTTATATTAATATATTTATTGATAGAATCCAATATTACAACGAGTAACACCACATAAAAGAGCATTGTCCGGAGGAGCTATTTTGACCTTGCATGGAGATCCTATCTATTTAGGAACCCAAATGGAGGTCACTGTCAATGATAAAGAGTGTAATTTTACAAGGTATGTATAAAAATACAAGAAATAATATCTTTATATAGAGCTAATCTGATGTTCCGTGTGCAGCACTTTTCAAAAATATAAATCTTGAAAGTTTCAAAATGCAAATGTAGAAAATCCAAATGTATAGAACATTGAACCTGATAAAGAAAAACAAACCAAAAACACCACCAAATAAGACATTCAAACCATTTAATGAACTCTTGTCATTCTTGTTAATAGCTTAACAAATTTCAAATCTGTGAGGTCATTGCTTAGATTAGTGCAACACTGTAATTAGTTATTTATTATCTTTTAAATTGGTTCAACTAACAAGTCTGGCCAGGAAAAAGAGCTTCATAGAAGTAAAAACTCATGATGGGTATAAAATAAACAATTTCAAAGGCGAAGAGGTCAACACAAAATAAATACTGTTCAAATACAAAAGCAGTGCTATAAATCTAGATATTTATAGATATTACTGGTACTTAAAATATTCATTAGATTAATGAGCAAATGTCTAACAGTAAATTCGGTTCAGTAGTAAAATTTGTTCTCTGGACTTTTTTTACTAGGTAATCAAGTCCATGACCATAATTTTCCTAGGAATATAAGTCCCAGGATAAATTTTCCTAAGAAAATAAGTCCATAACTAGTAAAATATGTCCGGCACTTATTTTCTTTTCCTAATAATAAAGGACATGGACGTTTTTGCCTCGGAATAATAATGATGTGGACATGAATTCCTGGGAAATTTAGTCTGGGTACATAAATTTAATTAAAAGATAAATGCACAACTGTTAAATCAATTATTAAAACATAACAATTCCAAATTCCATTGTTACATGATTTCTTTCCTTACAAGTTTCCCTAGTAAAATAAAGGACATGGGCGTTTTTACCTAGGAATATTAATGACATGGACATGAATTCCTAGGAAAATTAGTCTGGGGACATAAATTTTATTAAAAGATTAATGCACAACTGTTATACAATATTGAAATATAACAAATAAAAACTCCATTGTTTACATGTAAATGATTTCTTTCCAGTAAAATAAAGGACATGGATGTGTTTACCTAGGAATATTAATGACAAGGACATGAATACCTAGGGAAATTAGTCTGGTGACATAAATTACTGACATCAGACTAAAAAACTAGTAAATTCTGTTACCATGGACTTTTTATACTAGTAATATGCGGACACATTTTACCAGGACTAATTTGTCTCTTACAAATGTAATCTCTATAAACCTATTTTTATTTAGGATAACAACTCCTTAAAATGAAAAATAAAGGTTTTTAAATGTTTAAAACAACGGAAAACTATAATTCTCCTTAAAAGAAAGAAAAGCTAAATCCTTGAAAAAGTACTTTCAAAGTTGTAGTTATAAACCAGATGACTAAATATTGCCTTGCCTCAGAACCTAGAAAAAAGTATCAGTTGCCAGGGTAAAGTAATGAAAGTAGTGAAGCTTATAATGTGTTTGTATATAGCAAAATATTAAGCTTAAAGGAGCAAAGCATTTAGTAGTTCAATGACTTCACAAGGTTTGATGTTTTTTCTTGTTTATTTATAGTAAAACTAAAACACAAATCAAATGTCGACTGCCACCGGGTAAACTGGGTAATGCTAAAATTTCTGTCAAAGTTGATGGTAATGAGATCAGACAGGATATGGCTGGCAACATAAGTTTCACATACGTAGCAGATCCATTAATCTCAAAGATATACCCATTGAAAAGTTTCCAAAGGTAGGTAAAAAGTAATGAAGTCATTTTTTTTCAAGAGGATGGTCATGACCCCTCTAAATTGACCCATTTTGATTTGCCACATGCAAGTCAGTAAATGTGACTTTTTAATATAAGAAAAGTGCATATTTACTGGTACCTCTGAAGTCTACAAAATCAATATAGACATACAGTGCAACTCTCCATGGTCAAGTTATTTCAATAGACAGAATAGTTTGGTTAAAGCCAAATTAACTCCCAACAAATTTGGTATGATCAATTGTTATGTAGACTAACTTAATCTATATACTTTTTACCTAAACAACAAGTCTATTTCTATGACCATTTAATGGCTATTATGACCTTTGAAACTTAAGGTATGATAAAAGTTAAGTAATGTTATCATATACTGCAAATAACTTTTCTTTTTTAGTTTTTAGGCAAAATTTGGAAATTTTTAATGAACAGCCTCCTTCTTTTGACATTGTAAATGTTGTTTTGAAAATAAAACTGAGATTTTTCCATATATTTTTTAATTTGAAAAAAAATATCCATGCATGGATAAATATAGATTCTAACATTGGTACCAGTGGATTATTGGATTTATCCAATCAAGATAGTTAAATTATCGAATTTAAAGTCTGAGCCTTGGCAAGGACTTTAAAATTCATAATTTAACTATCGAGATTGGATAAATCTGATAATCAACAAGTAAATATGCAAGAATCTGTTTCTCCAATGATTATCAAATAAATTTTCATTTTTTGATAAACTAAAATCCTCTTTGAGTGCCTTCCACATTCCACAAAGTTGTCAATTTCATTAACACCTGTTAGCACATTATGATTCATCCAGTGAGCTGATAAAGGTTGTGACCCTTAAACATGTTAAACTAATCCAATCATCTTCTGAGATCATCGGCAACAACGCATTGATTAAGTTTTTTTATGCAATGGGTCCGGAAATGGTTAAATTGCCAAAGAGTTAGAGAAAGTGAATTATACTACCAATTCTGAATATTGATAAAAGTTGTCGGTAGAAAATTTTCCATACTAACTGTCAATTTTATATTACTGTTTATTAACCAATGACTTATAATACATTATAAATTGTCCTTTTAATATGATTCCATGTGTCTGAGAGCTGGTCATTAATACAGGTCTAATACAGAAAAGCAGGTTAACACAGAATTTTTACTGGTCTTAATACAGGATTTTAGCTTTTTGTTTTTTGTTTAAAAAGGTATCAGAAAATAGATGTGTGAATTACGTGAAATATTAGATAACAACATGTTTGATGTTAAGAGTTGTTGTTATTTTTCATATGTTATACTATTTTTTTTCTTTGAGTATATATAATTATGGAACGTAGAAATGGTGAATATTCAGAACTGTCAACCGTGAAAGATTATTTCTTTCAGGGCGCAGTCCGAAGTGAGAGAAATTTGTAGGGTTGACAATCTTGGATATGCACTGCTTCTGATGGGCCACATTTGTTTAATTATACCATAGGGCCCTCAAACCATGGAAATACATGTTAAAGAAGCCCTGTTTAATCCACCATTTTCTACATAAGGAAATGCCTGTACCAAGTCAGGAATATGACAGTTGTTTTCCATTCGTTTGAGCTTTTGATTTTGCCATTTGATAAAGGTCTTCCGTTTTGAATTTTCCTTGGAGATCGGTATTTTTTTTATTTTACTTTTTACTGTAGTATAAACAAATAATTTGTCAAAACACTTACATCAGAGAATTATTTTGTGATTTAAAATGCCTCATATATACAACAATGAAGACACTTTACTGTAAAAATAATGGTGGCCCTGAAAAGGGCTGTTTGTGAAAGCTATCCTTGGCACCAGATCGATTTCAAATACTTGTTTCATCGTCACTCCAGTCAACAAACTTCTTACTTGGATGTTGCCATTTTGTTTACATATGTCAGTGACTTCATTTTGATGGGAGATAACTCCTGTAAAAATTGAGAGGCTCAAAGGGATTTTTACCGGTGAATAAAAGGGTAATTCGTCGCACATTATTATTTTTTTTGGTTATTCAACAATCCTTGCAATAAAATGTTAATTAACCCAAATAGTTCATATTGATCCTGTTTGAGTCTTCCTACAGTGGTATTTACCCTCAGTCAGCTTTTGGTGTTTATTTCAAGTCATTGGTTAATAAAGGTGTCATAAAATGGGTGTTTTCATATTAATCCTGTATTTTGTCCTCGTACAGTTGAATTGGAACTCGATCAGCTGTATTGGCCCTTGTCTCCGCCTCGAGCCAATACAACTGTACTTGGACATAATTCAGGATTAATATGAAAACACCCATTTAATAACTCTATAATAATGACTTATTACATTATGAATAAAGGTCTTTTTATTAAAACGGAAATAGTATCTAATTGAAAACGATGAATTGTACAAATTCTATATCAGTTGTAAAATCGTATCAATGTTACTATATTTGATAATTTTCATGACTACTTTCAGTGGAGGAAGAAGACTAACAGTTGTGGGAACCAATATAAACGTTATCGATCAACCAAAAATGTTCGTCTGGACAAATTCTGTCATGTCAAGTCTTACGGTATGTACTACGTAGACTCCATGGAAAATGTTTTAATATTTGTAATAAAAAAAGACTTGTTTTGTTTATTCATCTGTATAGACAACACAAACATAGAAAAAATTAAGTTCTGTATAAATAGTAAAAGTGATTTCATGAAGTAGATCAGCAATGAAATCAAATTTATTATGGATAGGTTTTTGGAGGGCAGATATCTTTAGATGTAACCTTTTTCATCCTCCATTTCTCCTTCAATGATATTGTTGGTTTGTTCAGGATTTTGTAAGCACAACTCTTAAACTGTTGAATTCAAACTAAACTTTACACTATAATATATTTTACCATACAATAAATTTTGTGATTGATGGATTGCTTTGTGTTCAGTGGAACACCATATGAAGACTCGCATGAATCAAATCAGTTTGGTAACATATTTGAATAAGAGATAAATTAACTTTTATTTTGAAGTACTCCCTGTATGAGAAATAAGTTTGTTACCCTAAAACTCTTCATTAATTTTAACTCCATCTTTATATTATATGAAACAGTCATAGTGTGAATGTCAGTGATGTATAATCTTATTATCTATAGGTAATGACAATCTTGCTAAATCAGATTTAAATATGCTATTTCAGAACTGTCAGGTCAAAAATGAAACATTTATGTTCTGTCCATCACCCAAACTCTTGACAAGATACAGACGACTTAGACGATCAACAGCATTGATGACAGCAGCAATTGGATTTATAATGGATAATGCAGTTAATGTCCAAAATTTGACCGGAATCAACAATCAATTACAGTACTTCCCAGATCCTTTAGTGTACAGGTTTGATCCAGACAAGGAAGACAATGACAATGTGAAACTCTTTAAATCAGAAATCGTTATCATAAATGTAAGTTGTATACTTGAAAAGAATGCAGATACCAAAATAGAACAGTAGGAATGAAGCGAGCCATGTTTTGGCCCTTCAAATTAGAAAGTGTAAACTGGTGTAAAATATCACCTGATAATGATTGCTGCAAAGTAAACCAAAAAAAAAACTTTATGAGATTTTAGGTAATTATTACTGAGAAAACTAGACAACAATTAAATAGAATGAAAAATTAACCATCTAGGTCTCAAAATGGCATTCACTATATCCGTAAAAATTGATATGTAAATTGCATATACATAGGGCAATTGATAGCTTGCCATATGATTTGGTTGCTTGTCCATCATTTTAAAATGCATGTGGTCTCTAGATATGTATATTGCAAGTATTTCTGTGTAAGGCTATTGTCTTTTAGATATTTTTCCTATCTTTTTTATTCCAATTAATAATCTGCGACTTTGTTGGCTGATATATATTGCCTTGTGTCATCCTCATACGTGTAAAAAGGCAGATGTGCTGGAGAAAATGTAAACCCATTTTTTGTTATTGATGATATGATATTTTTTTAATGATAGGGAAAAAATTTAATGGTGGCAGCTAAAAGAGAAGATGTACAAGTTGCCATTGGAAATGCCAATTGCAATGTAACAAATTTGTCTGAGGATCAGATTGTATGTAACCCTCCTTCATCACAACCAAAACCCACAGCTGGATATAGCAGGAGTGATATACCTGCAGTTGTGGTAAGTTTCCCAAGCAGTCTAAAGTATACATTTACTTAAATGTCAAATTTCTGGTACTTGTCAAAGAGTCCAATGATGAAAAGGACATTTTTAAAGTCAAATTACAAGTTTTTACTAATCCAAGAATTAAAAAATTAAAAAAGGTATTTAAGAAGTGACCAAACATTGCATTAATTCATGAATGTGCATTCTCAATTTGTTTTGGTGCAACTTACAGTTTATATGTAAAAGACGACAGCAGAAAAAGACAAAATAATATGGTTAGAATGAGATATTTGATAAGTATTATAATTTCATTGAGGCAGATATATACTGAGTAACACAAAAATTCATATACCATCAAAAAATATAGCTTTGTCTAAAATTATGAAATGTATTCTATTAAGGTCCAGATTGGGAATGAAAAATACTTTGTTGGTTACTTGGAATATGAATCAGCAAAGCAAATTGGTATACCACTTGATTACATCATTGGTGGAGTGGCTGGTGTTGGACTGTTTATCATCGTGACAATCATCATATGTTGCTGTATCTATAGACGTCAGAAAAACAAATCAAAGCGAGACTTTGAAAAAATGAGGTACCAACTAGATAACATGGAAAGCAATGTCAGAAATGAGTGTAAACAAGGTAAATAATGACATAAGTATTGTTAATAGGTTAAAAGGAAACACAATTTTATGTTCATTTATACCCAAGTGTAATCCAATTTTCTGAAATATTGGTTTTCTTGCAGTAAGAAATGTGCATTAAGAAAGTATTAGTTTCCAAAAATAAAGTGGATTGAAATAAGTGAAAAAAAATTTAATGGTAGTTTGTGCTTGTGAAGTTAGTTTTACAGTGATGATAATGAAATTGAAATTGCTTAATACACTTCCACCCTAACAACCATGATATATGCATTGACCAGATAATGCTTAAATATTTAAATATTTTTTAAGTAATAAAAAAAAAGAAGATTTTATTTGATGTCATCAAATTTCATGTACATATTTTCAATTGTAGCCTTTGCTGAATTACAAACAGATATGACAGATCTGACTGCAGAGATAGGGGATGGAAAGAAACCTCTCTACAGATATGATGATTATACATTCAAAATACTTTTCCCTCAGATGCTAGATCATGTTGTACTTCATCCTCCAATTGTAAGTTATCTTTTACAATTGGTTGTGTTTTAACAATTTATTGAGTTCTCTCCCTTTAATTAACAAAAAGTATTCAAAGATGATAGATAAAATGACTGTTTAATTCTCTGGCAATAGATCTTCGGATTTTTTCACAAGTACTTTTTATCTTTTGAGATTCTTTATAGTATCAGATTAATCTTGAATTGTGAAAAATGTGAGTTTTTTTAAGTTTTGTTCAATAAAAAGTTATCAACCATGGGAGAATTTGTAAATGTATAAAATGTTGAATGATGTATTAATTTATTCTACTCCTAAAGATAATGAATTTCATAGACAAGTTGATTACAAATACAAGTGTTGTCAGTTTTATTTTATTTTATTACAATATTCAGTACAAAAAAATGTAACATTTGTTTTAAATTTTATTTTTATAATATTTAATTTTTTTTTTTTTCAGCCAAAGAATGGGAGCAATGAAAGACATCCAGATGTTGCAATTTGTCATTTTAGTCAGCTTTTACAACATAAACAGTTCTTATTAAAGTTCATACGGACATTAGAAAAACAAAAAAGTTTTGGAATCCGAGATAAGTAAGTATTAAAAATCTGTTCATAGATATAGATAGAGAGCTTAACATATACTTCTAGGAAGATTAAATGGAAAGAGAAATAAATAAAACTTTGGGTTTAACAGATCTTTTGTTAGAGTTAAAATAAGGATAAAATGCTTATACATGTCTTTTGGTGATTTGTGTCATTATGTTGATATCTCATTGACAATAGCCTTACAATTATTTATTCCTATTCTAAAATACTTGTCTACTGAATAGGTACTTTGAGTTTGAAATAGACAAAAGTTATAAAATACCAATATATATGTTGTGAAAAGAATTTGCCTTCAAATGTTTGAATAATTTCAGTTAGAATTTCTTAATCAGTAATGTTTGTTTTTCTGACACAGTAAAAACACTGATAAACTGGAGATATCAAAATGAAGAAACCATTTCTTATTTTCTCTACTTTATTTTTTCAGATCAAATGTAGCTTCTTTGTTGATAATATTGTATCAGAATAATTTGGAATATATTACTGAGTAAGTATACATTTTTCTCATCATAGCAATCACATTTTAGAATTACCTTCATATATTTAACTACTTCATCTATCACACTATACACTGTTAATGTTACTTAGAATAAATTACACAAAGAGAAGTTGCAGTTTACATTTGATTTTAGTTTTTGTACCCTTGGATTTGATCCATAAACAAACATGGATGTTGTTGCTAAAATTAGAAAACATAGGGGTAAATTGCAACTAACAAATATTGCACATCATGATTAAATTTAAATTATGAAAGTCTTAAGGATGATGTTTTCTACAATAAATGTTGTCAATTTCTTGCATGAAATATTTGTTGCAATTATTTCTTAGTTAACCCAAATAATAAGATGTGTTTAGTATTTAGTATTAAGTATATTTTAAGAAAATTGTATTGATTTGAATTTATAGAATTATCAAGTCATTATTAAAAGAGTTGGTAGAGAAGTCAGTGGAAGGAAAACATCCAAAATTGATGCTGAGGAGGTAATTATAAATACTTAACATTGCATTCTAGCTTGATAAATCATTTCTACCTGCTATGCCAATTGTGGGCATGCTTAATGGAATTAAATATGAGTAGAAATCTGCACCAAGTCTTGTAAATAAAAATTCATCTGTCACCTGTCTTGCATTCTGTTCTTTCTGCTCTACAGTGAAGAAGACAATATACTGAAAATATAATAGATTTCTCAATGTTTATTCATTATATTTCAGGACAGAATCAGTGGTAGAAAAACTGCTGGCTAATTGGTTAGCTCTTTGTATGTATAAAAATTTAGAGGTATGTTTATTTTTTTATTTGGTAAATATTTCTTATTAAGTCTCCCAAACGAAGTTTGGGAAGACTTATTGTTTTTGCTCAGTTCTTATTATTATTCTTCTTCTTCTTCTTCTTCTTCTTCTCCTTCTTCTTCTTCCGCCGCTTTTAAATTTGAACTTGTCCGCACCCGTTCTCCAAAACCCCTTGTCGGATTAACTTAGGGTTTCACAATATGTTAGACTAACATGTCTAGTGGTGCAATCAGGGTTTTGTTTTTGCAATGGGGTTTATAAAGGGGTACTTTGAGGGGCAAAAAGAAAAGAGGGTTTTACTATAGAACCCTATGGGATTTTATTTTTTAAAATTTTCAAATGATTATAAATTCAAAACCGTTCATGATAGACACAAACTTTTTAATTGAAAATGTTCTAAATGATAAAGCCCATTAAATGAAATACAGGTTTAGTCCCCAGGGGTCACCCCCACCCCCTGCCATTTAAGAAAGTTCTAATACCTTGTAAGTGGTCAAGATCCCCACCCCTAAACCATATATATTCTGGTTTGTCATGCTAAGATGGTTTGAATGATATACAGGGTTAGTCCCCAGGGGTCATCCCCACCCCCTGTCATTTGAGAAAGTTCTAATATCTTGTAAATGGTCGAGATCCCCACCCCTAAACCATATATATTCTGGTTTGTCATGATAAAGCACATCAAATGTAATACAGGGTTAGTCCCCAGGGGTCACCCCCACCCCCTGCCATTTAAGAAAGTTCTAATATCTTCTAAGTTGTCAAGATCCCCACCCCTAAACCATATATATTCTGGTTTGTCATGCGAAGATGGTTTGAATGATATACAGGGTTAGTCCCCAGGGGTCATCCCGATCCGTTGCCATTTGAGAAAGTTCTAATATATCTTGTAAATGGTCGAGATCCCCACCCCTAAACCATATATATTCTGGTTTGTCATGATAAAGCACATCAAATGAAATACAGGGTTAGTCCCCAGGGGTTACACCTACCCCCTGCCATTTAAGAAAGTTCTAATATCTTGAAAGTGGTCAAGATCCCCACCCCTAAACCATATATATTCTGGTTTGTTATGCTAAGATGGTTTGAATGATATACAGGGTTAGTCCCCAGGGGTCATCCCCACCCCCTGCCATTTTAGAAAGTTCTAATATCTTGTAAATGGTCGAGATCCCCACCCCTAAACCATATATATTCTGGTTTGTCATGATAAAGCACATCAAATGTTATACAGGGTAAGCCCCCAGGGGTCACCCCCACCCCCTGCCATTTAAGAAAGTTCTAATATCTTCTAAGTGGTCAAGATCCCCACCCCTAAACCATATATATTCTGGTTTGTCATGCTGAGATGGTTTGAATGATATACAGGGTAAGTCCCCAGGGGTCATCCCGACCCCCTGCCATTTGAGAAAGTTCTAATATCTTGTAAATGGTCGAGATCCCCACCCCTAAACCATATATATTCTGGTTTGTCATGATAAAGCACATCAAATGTTATACAGGGTTAGTCTCCAGCGGTCACCCCCACCCCTTGCCATTTGAGAAAGTTCTAATATCTTGTAAATGGTCGAGATCCCCACCCCTAAACCATATATATTTTGGTTTGTCATGATAAAGCACATCAAATGAAATACAGGGTTAGTCTCCAGGGGTCACCCCCACCCCCTGCCATTTAAGAAAGTTCTAATATCTTCTAAGTGGTCAAGATCCCCACCTCTAAACTATATATATTCTGGTTTGTCATGCGAAGATGGTTTGAATGATAGACAGGGTTAGTCCCCAGGGGTCATCCCGACCCCCTGCCATTTGAGAAAGTTCTAAAATCTTGTAAATGGTTGAGATCCCCACCCCTAAACCATATATATTCCTATTTGTCATGTCTCGAACATTTGAATCACGTATACGGTCAGTCCCCAGGGGTTCCCCCCACCCCCAATGTTCTAATATCTTGTAAATGGTTGAGATCGCCACCCCTAAACCATATATATTCCTGTTCGTCATGTAATGAACATTTGAATGACGTATAGGGCCAGTCCCCAGGGGTTCCTTCCCACCCCCAATATTCTAGTATCTTGTAAATGGTTGAGATCCCCACCCCTAAACCATATATATTCACGTTTGTCATGCCAAGATGATTTGAATGATATACAAGGTTAGTCCCCAGGCATCACTAATGCATATAACTTTACTGGACTAAACCAATTTTCACTGGACGTTGCCCAATGTCAGGCGACCCTGGGAATTACGAATTATGGGAGCTTCGTTTGGGAGACTTCGTAACAGCATCCTGTTACAATCATTTCTTGTTTGTATTATTTTTCATTGAAATAAAATAAATTGTACATTTAGATAGTATAAGTGTTGTAAATATCAAGATACTACATTCTTACAATATACGATTGATACATATATTATAACTGTCTGTTTCCAAATATTTAGGTTCAGGACCATTCTCGTACAAATTTATCTCTGTCAACTTATCAAAATTGTGAAATATACATAAAGCTTCTTTAAATTATCAGGAGTCGACTGGTTCCTCTTTGTATTTGTTGTACCAAGCAATAAAATTCCAAGTAGTGAAAGGTCCAGTAGATGCTGTCACAGGTGATGCAAGGTACTCTTTGTCTGAAGACAGGTTACTAAGGACAGAAAACAGACTGGAACCTGTTACCATAGTAAGCATTGAATAGACCTGTAGATCTAAGGAATATTGTACATTTTGTACTCATTTTAATCACAAGAATCTCATTGTTTAATATTGTTGCTGTTTTTTCCACAGCTGTGGGTGAAATATCTAGTCTATGCTTAGCAAAGGATGATACTGGATTTTGTAGTGTTGGTATATTATTTGGAAATATCTAATTCTAATTTGGATTGAGATGAGTTTCAAGCAAGAAGTTACTTATTTAATACTTCTAGGATGGGGGCCTTTTGTTTTGTGGTCTGCATCCATTCAGCCGTCAGTCCATGCTGTTGGGTTAAAAGTTTTGGTATATGGTAGCCTACCATGAAGTTTTCACATTTACTTGAAACTCAGTACACATAAATTTGAAATTTAAAAAAAACTTGGCAAATTAGTGTTTTGACCCAGATTTCAATGTTCACTGAACATATAGATAGGATAGTACAAGTGGGACATGGTGTTGAGAGACACATTCTACTTTGTGCAATTAAAACAATCAACTGAACAAACTGAAAATAGAAAAATAGTACTTTATAACAGTGCAATTTTAAGCTAATATGCATAGCAATTATTAAAAAAAATGTTTTGCCTACTTGTAGACATTAAATGTAGAATATGAAGGGAAGAAATACAAATGTCGCTGTCTAGACTGTGATACCATTACTCAGGCGAAAGATAAAATGTTGGATGTAATTTACCGTAACATTCCATACTCTACCAGACCAGCAGGAGAAGATTTGGATCTGGGTAAGACATTAATTATGTTTATAGGCAGGCAACACTTTAGGTGATTCCTTTTGTCCTTTTTTTGGGGTAAGGTTAAGAAAAAAATATAATGTGCCTGCAGCATTTATTAAATAAATAATATCCAATATAATGTAAATGTACCATAGAAAAATATATCCTGGCTATTCTGATTTATAAGATTATTATATATCATATATTATTTATTTTAAGGGGCTATTTATACAATTGCTTATTTTGATTGGTACATGTGAATTTTTAGATTGATTAAATGAAAACAAAACATTTTAATTGATACATGTAAATTTTTAGATTGGGTAAATGAAAACAAAACTTTACAAGATGAAGATAATATAAAGTGGAAGGAAAATGGTTGGAAACAGTTAAATATGCTTAAAGATTATAAACTTTCAAATGGTGCTGATGTGGTGCTAACACAATACCAGAAGTGTCGAACTTTGCCTAGATCTCCTAATGGTAAGACATGCTTGTATTTTATGAAGAATTTTATAAAGCTCACATCCACGTCTTTTAGTCTCTTATGGATAGTTGTCCATTTGACAATCATTCCACATCTTCCTATTTTTATATTTGTGTTGTGGATATTTAGTAGTAAGGTTTCAATCATAGTGACAATAATGTAAAATTTATACTAAATTGCAACAATTGAATTTTGTTCCTGAAGATGCACATATTACTGTACAAGCAAACAGAAGAATGTATAATCTTTATAGAAATTATTTTGATTTTATTCTGTCATGAAGTAAATCGATGATGGTGATGCTACAAAAACAAACACTGTTTTTCAGAATATAAGATTAAATTTTTGATAGATAGGTTGTATGTGTTTCTCTCTGAATTCCTGCTTTAATATAGAAGTTTATTTTAAAATTTTGCCACATTTATCTAAATATGTGTTATTTCATGTAATGTTTTTCTTTTTTATTTTGTGAACAATATTAAATTGCATTTTTGTATATGTACTGTATTGGCCTTTCTTTAATGTAAATGTTCATCATCTTATCACTCATAAAGATATAACTTCCTTACATCATCTACTCATTTGTCTTAAATTTACTTACAGGTGTATCATTAATATATGGTGGTAGTACAAAAAGTAAATCATTTTAAACTTTTTTGACTTGATAAAAAACTAACATTAGGTTAACTTGGGATTTGGATTAGATCAACTTGTCTTCATTTGTTTCTGATTAATCACAAAAATATGTTTGTATACCCTGGCTCTGAGGGAGGGGGTGTACTGTTTTTCCCCTGACTTTCTGTTTGTCCTTCCTTTAAATGAGAGATATTTATTATCAGACTTCATGTGAACATGCTTTACTGTGTGATGCTGTTTCAGATTCATTGTTTATCATCTTTCTGTTTACTGAATACTTAAATATTCTAACTCAAAATGACCATATATGAAATGTTTGGCTTAATTTTCTAGGGAACTACAAATAAGAACTTCTTGATATTTGTTATTAGGCTTCATGTTAACATGCTTTACTGTGAGAAGCATTTTCATATCTATTACCCTTCAACTGCCTGTTTACCGATTACTTAAAGCTTAGCAATCAATAAAGAGCAACTGCTCACAGTTCTACTTGTTTATGACATCTCAGTGTATTATTTGAAGAGAAATAAAAATAAAACTACGATTCTAAAAAAAAAACAAAAAAGTTTATGAAATTAACATTTTAAACATTGAAATTTTAAATTTGGATATTTCCTTATTTGACACTGAATATTCCAAAAACATTCTTTAAATTGATGAATTAAGAAAAGATATCACTATTTTTTATATCTGGTTATTAATTTACATAGAACTTTCATTAATTAACCTTCATAGATGGTGTGGTATTAACCTTTGTATATACATCCTAACAATTATTTATTAACAGGATCTGTTCATTCCTCAGGATTTTACAACCGAGAGGCCGTCCCTATCACACGCACTGACAGTGAAGTTGGTACCAAGTACTGGCATCTGGTAGGTACAAAAATGAGAATATTATACTAAATCAGTATTACTGTAGATTCAATAAAGTTTGTGGTTTACAAATTTTTCGTGGGTTTCATGGGAATATTTATTAGCCACGAATTAAGATATTCAACAAAGTGCCAATTATCTATTGGCTTTTATGCAAAATTTGGCAAAACCACCAAAAAAAATCAAATATCAATGAATAAACAATTTTTCCTTGATCAATGAAAGTAAGAACCCTCAAAAATAAAAGAATCCACAGTAGTTAGTATTTTGTATAACAAACTGAAAATGAGGTAAATGATCTGTGTTAAACTCTTTGTACAAGGGTATTACTTAATGTACAAGAAACTAACAATTTCTTTTTGATAGAAAGGGGCTAAGTTGACCTGTGCAGCTTGACATTATACACTTACCTACATATAAACTATTTGTATGTTAATCAGTTTCTTGTAAGTGTTCAAATTTATGAAAGTGGATAAACACTAATATCTATACAGTTGTGATATCTATTAAAAGATCCTGAACAGAAAAAAAATTCATATGGGCTGTTCCTTCAAAACATACATAGGACCCAGGGAATGTAGCTTTGTGTCATATACTATTTGGTAAAGGAAAGGGAAGTATGAAATTGATTCTATATAGGTGGTTATCCAATTTCAAAGTGCCTGTCATTGTGTATGTTTAAATGGAACAACCCTAACTCAAAAATTCAAATTGAAAAAATATAAGTCAACACACTTATTTTCAATAGATACTGGATTCTAAATATTAGAATTTTATATAGAGTGGAATCGTCTTTTGGCTATCAAAATAAAAGCTTGTCTGTAGAAATTATTACTTTTTGAGGGACGTTTTTTATTCTGTTGTTTTCAGTAACTAAAAAAATTAAAGACAAATAAAGGAACCATTCTTATTTTATTGCTACTTACAAAATAATGAAAATTTGATTGATTTACAGCAATAACCAGTTTGAATTATCTCCCCCTGTATGTAAACACTGTTTTCCTCGATTAATCTCCACTCAAATCATAGTAATTGTAATATGTTTCTGAATTATATTTGAAGAGTAAGATAGTGTTTTAAATAATTATATTTACAAAGAAAAAAATTAAACTTCAGGTATGTCAATGTTTGCACATTTTAAAATTTCATTTGATACTGTCTAATTAAACAAGCAACAATAAATCTAAGAAGGATTACCACCTTTTTGTGCTGTTGTTAACTAATTATTATTACCTTAAGATTGTTACAGAAGCTTTTTTAATAAATAATTTAATGTTAAAATAGAAAATGCTGAGATGAAACCACTTGATATGGTAATTATGTTACATTTATATGGATTTGATTGAGTAATTCAAATTTCATAAACCAAATATATTTCGGAAAGCTCTTGAAAAAAACCACTTGTAAAAAGAAAATTGCTTAAAAAATTATTGGTTTGTTCTCTAAATTATCAGGATAACTAACAATTAGCTGTTGTTGAACCTAAGGGATACTCTTCCTTCGTAAAATTCCTGTACCAAGTCAGGAATATGACAGTTGTTTTTCAGTCAATTCGTTGGTTGATATAGTTGAGCATTTGATTTTGTCAGTTTTTCTGCACTTCCCCTTTTTATGCCCCACCTATGATAGAAGAGGGGCATTATGTTTTTCGGTCAGTGCGTCCCTTCCTCCGTCCGTCCATCTGTCCCGCTTCAGGTTAAAATTTTTTGCTCAAGGTAGTTTTTGATGAAGTTGAAGTCCAATCAACTTGAAACTTAGTACACATGTTCCCTATGATATGATCTTTCTAATTTTAATGCCAAATTAGAGTTTTGACCCCAATTCCACGGTCCACTGAACATAGAAAATGATAGTGCGAGTGGGGCATCCATGTACTATGGACACATTCTTGTTGAATTTACCTTGGATATCTTTGTTATTATATTTTTTATCAATTTCAAAAATCAATATACAAATTTATCTTAAAATTTCAATGGAAAGGTTTTCCAACTAGATTCGTTTCAGTTTCTGTATTTTTGTTAATGTTATTCACTTCTAAAACTTTCAACTATCTTTGACATTTTGTAATCCATCAGGATTTTTAGAATCAATAATTTGTATCATCAACTAAAGGGCATAGGACATTTGAGCCAAAATTAAAAAAATGCACATAGGGTCATTTGAGCACCAACATTGTAGGGAATTTTAGCGCCTGAATATTAACCTTTCCTGGATATTCAAATAGGATGTTTGAGTGAAATTTCTTGCGATACTTTTATATTAGTTAAGAAAATATTTAAAAAAAAAAAAAAATAGAGCCGAGTTTTTAAAATAAATATATTTTATTTGATTTTACACCCAAGTTATTCAACCGGTTCTGGCTAGTTAATGGTGGTGTAGTCCTGAGTTGATCTCTACTTACCAATCAAACCTCATAGCCGAACAGACAAGGAAAAGGAACATAATCTCCTGGACTTTCATTCACGGTACTACCAGCAGGAAATAACGAGGAATTTTTATGTCAGAAGCCTAGGATATAAATTTCAAGCTCGAACTGACTTAATAATATCACAGACAATGCTTTGTATTTTTTACCATTAAAAGATGTTTTAACTTTGTGCTTTATAAGCTTTACATTTTATTAACTATATCCTGCTCAAAATCTTACTCTGACCTCCCCGTGGTGAGCAAGGGTAACAGATTATATCTGGCGAACGGAAAAGATACTCCTTCATCATTCTTAAATTTTCTTCGCTCAAATGTCCTATGCTTATTTTTTATTTTCGCTCAAATGTCCCATAAAATTTTGGCGTTTAAACGTCCTCTTTTAATCGCTCAAATGTCCATTGCCACAACTTAAAAGGCACATAAACTAGCTTTATATTTCCATTATTTCTATGTATTGTTTACAAAAATTATCAATTGAAAAAAAAACCAACATTTGTACAATTGAAGTTATTTTTTTTTATATCTATACATTGCCTCCATTTTTCTGTTTATAATTATAGGTGAAACAACCTGATGATGCACAGACCAAAGGCCTTAGTTCAGAGATATATCTTACTAGATTGTTAGCTACAAAGGTAAGTACCATATGCTGATTGGATCTTTGTCATGCTTTTATTGAGTTACTAAATAAAATTTAGTTTTGAAGACTTTATGCTGTTACCAAAATTGCAATAGATATAGGAAGAGTTTGAGTTACCTTTGCAACTGATAGAGAAAAAATAATTTCTCATATGCAAGCAAAGAAAAAATATTTTTTTATGTGCAAGCAAAGAAAAAAATTAACATTTCTTGTGTGGGAGCAAAGAGCAAGTTATATACATAAGAATAACAACTACAACAAAAACATTAAAATTGTGCAAACTACTAAATTCCAAACACTGTATGTTTTTTTTAGCTTGACCGTTTATGTTTTGTAAAAAAAAATCAAAACTTTGTGGCATTTTAAAATGCTTTTGTTCAAAAATTTGTTCTGTAATGAAGATAACCAATAACAATGAAAACAAAATGAAGGTTTTGATGTTTTAGAGATATTGCTTTTACAGTAGACACCCACCATGGAAAATGAACATTCTGTATGATAAACATTTTCACAGTGCAGTTAAAAAAACATTTTTTATTTTTCAGGGTACTCTGAAACAGTATATTGATGATTTTATTAAAACTGTGTTGACTGCTAGTCCAAATATGCTTCCTGTGATAAAATATTTGTTTGATTTCTTGGACGACGCAGCCAAACAACACAATATTACAGATCCAGAAGTAGCATACACATGGAAATGTAATAGGTCAGTATCAGAATAATAAGGTTATGGGTCATGGGATGTGACTTAAGTTTTCTGATACAGAAATGGCAAACATTTAAAAATATATAAGCTTGGAATCATAACCCAAGGATTAGAGGATAAGGGATGGGACAACATAATATAACAGATCAAGAAATAATCAGTTTGATAACCCCGGGCCTGAGATGAAGTGATAGGCAACATTATAATATAGAAACTGTTTAATATTATTGAAAGTGGCAAAAGAAAGAAAAGGATTGTCCAAATATTTTGGAACCTGCCATTATAATGACTTCTGAACAACTGACCTAGTAATGAAATTAATGCTGGTATAACAGGAGACACTTCTTATTCTGTTGAGAGTGTTTCTATTTATAAACAAAAATCAATATCTTTATAAACAGACATCTATATCCTTGTACCATAAACCATTGAAAAAATAAAAGATTCTGTGTGTCGAGAAATTATTGATTTCTTAAACTGATTCCTAGAAACAGTTAGTAAGATTTTGGGCATTTTTATAATGGATTACATGTACTATTTATATTTATTTTTCAGTTTATTGCTAAGATTCTGGGTGAATATTATCAAGAATCCAGACTTTGTATTTGATATCCACAAGACCAATATAGTAGATTCATGCCTGTCTGTGGTAGCTCAATGTTTTATGGATAGTTGCTCAACATCGGATCAGAATTTGAGTAAGGTAAGGTATTCAAAAACTTAATGATAATTAAAATTAAATGATAGTTGATATTTTTTATGCCCTTATCACTATGATGGCTGGGACATGAAGTTTAAACCGTGGTGGCATGTTTGTCATTCTGATATTTGTTTTCTTTATGCCTGCTGAAAGTGATCTGATTTTTGATACGTTGGTGTATAAAGATGACATATACAGATGGAGTTTGTATTTTGTTCAGGTTGATTTTTTTTTTTAAATTATTGCACTTGGACCTTAAAAAAAAACATGCATACAATACTTGTCTTAACTTTTTTTGTAATGTTTGCTGATTTTTATCCTATATTTGGTACCTACCTTATTGATGACTTTGAGATTGAGTTTGGTTTTTGTTCCAGTTGACTTGACTTTTCACTCTAGGGGTGCAGGCAAGAGCATTTGTGTTGTACTGACACACATGGTTTTAAATTATTCTTTAGAATACTGTTAAATTTTACAGTTTATATTATCAAACACAATAAAAAATAGTTTCGAGTCAGTTAAAGGTTGCAATTTTGTAAATATAGACAATGCAATTTCCCATAGGAACTCCCTTTGCGGCTAAAACTGTGACACTTTTACTATGAAGTTTCGTGAAAAATAGTATCCCAGAACGGAAAGTTTATATGCACTACTATTTTATTCAAAGGTCAAAATATAGGGCTGTGCGGCATATTTTCAACATTTATATGCCCTGAACTTCGGAAAGTTTAAACTTATACTAAAATTCTATACTACCCTTACCTCCATTTTTGGCCCTCCTAAGAATTAAAATTTAGGCGCTACCATGTTTTTCTATACTGGTTACATTCCCAAGTGATGTCTCTATGAGATGAAACACAGAGAACATATCTGGGAAGCAGTACGTTAACAAATTAACATATCTATGAATATTATATATCTCCCCAAAAGAGGCGTGGTTTGAGAAACAGCTGTATTTACAAAGTGCAACCTAAATACATTTTTCTGTTGATGCTGTGGAAATTTCTAATAGGTGTATTCTTCTTCAGTGGATATGTTGAATACATGTGTAGTGGATTTAATCAGACTTTCAATTTTTTTTAGGATTCCCCGTCAAATAAATTACTATTTGCCAAAGATATTCCAGTGTTCAAGAAATCTGTTTCAAAGTATTTTGAGGACATACAGAGAATGCCTGCAGTGAGTGACCAGGATCTCAATGCCCATCTAGCTGAAGTGTCTAGGGTATGTTTTATATAAATATTATTGCTCTTTGGTCGGGTTGTTATCTCTTTGATACATTCCCCATTTCCATTCTCAATTTTATATATCGCAATATATTTTGTCAACGTGGAGCTTTTGTAAGCGTTGCAATTTGCGGCACATGATAATTCTAATATCAATAAAATAGGAACAAAAGGTATTAAGTGTGAAATGGTTTCTGGAATGACACAATAACAGTGATTGCACTTTCAATATATCTCTGTAATCATGTATGTATACAAGAGATTCCTATGTAAAACTATTCTTGTTTTAGGTACATTGATGACATATATGAATCTTTCCGTTTATAAATACAAATCTTTATATCAAATTTCATATTATTTTCCTGGATATGTATGTACATATAACATTATGTTTTGAGTTGACTATTTTTTTTATATTTTTACAGATGAGCACAAATTACTTTACCAAAGACAATGCATTGTTTGAATTGTATAGCTATGTACAGAAATACAGTAATGAGGTAAGTTACATAAATCACTTAAAATTCCAGAATTTTCTCTGTTATGACTGTTGGATGGTAAGGTTTTAGCCAGGATTAAGTTGTTTAGAAAGTTCAGTAAAGCACACCATTATTTTGAAAATACATTTTTCCATTTTAAAATATCTTGATAAGTTTTTTAAGAATGACAAAAAATAAGCTAATTCAAGGATGTTCTATTAAAAAAATTCAAATAGCCAGCAACTTCCTCTTAAGCTTTTAACAGTTTTTTCTCTCCCCTCAGGAAAGTCACAGAGATGAGATTTAGGTCTGTTATTTCTAGCAGCCTTAGTTTAAACAATTCTTAAAGTTTGTGGTTAGGTTAGTTTAAGGTCAATGATATTTGGTATTCAGTTGTATTAGCATTGGCACATTTCATTGGGATGCAGATTATTTGGCCATGCCCTCTTAGTCATGGTCTATAGACTTTGAAACTTTTGTTTAGTTTACATTTTAAAGTTTGTGTTTTTTATTCAAAGAGAATATCCAATGCAATATTTTAAGAGAATTAACACTTTGGGAGTAAAGTCCTTATACATCAATATTAATATATTTGATATTTTCTTCAGATTAATGAAAGTTTAGAAGCTGACAGTTTGACTAGAGCACAACAGTTTCCAGATAGACTTGGTAATGTGATTACAAATATGGAAGGTCCCTCCAATGTTGGAATGGCCTATGTGTAATGTGATTACACACATGGAAGGTCCCTCCAATGTTGGAATGGCCTATGTGTAATGTGATTACAAATATGGAAGGTCCCTCCAATGTTGGAATGGCCTATGTGTAATGATAACAGAAACAATTGATGCAATAAACTGTGATATAACTTGGTGACAAAATGTCAAGACATTTTCTTCTTAGTCCAGTCTGGTTGATTTATCACGAGGTGATATATTTGTGTAAATGATTCATTTGACTACTAGTGTTAAATGATACAATATTTGAAGTGAAAAAGCATTTCTGTCGAGCAGAACTATGTGAAATGGAGCCTTGTTTAGGAAAACCAACAATATGCAAATTCAATTTTACTGGTACTATTGGATAAACATGCATTTGCTATCCAATACAATAGCTTTGAATTCTTAAAATGGAGAAGTTAACAATGGTTTTTTGAAATGTGGATTTTAGTCAGACTAAAAATATTGTGTTAGAATGTATGAGTGGGTAGTGTTTACTGGTTTTTCCAGAATAATGGATGTGTTCATCTTTAAGTATAATAGTATAAGCTCACCAAACAGAGTTCATAATATTCCCCATAGAGAAGAGAAAAAAAATTAAAAGGAACAGATATTATCTGAGTTCATTGCTTTTCCATTTGTAATTTATTTCATTTCTGCACAAAATTTCAGGTTTTAAAAAACATATTCAAGAAATGGCAAACAAAATCAGATACATCGTATTTCTTATGGTATGATTGTTACATTATGAACATTTTACGTTTTTTGCATAGCACATTATTAGTTTTGAATCTATACAAGTTTTGAATTCATATTCAGCATTCTGTATAAAGTTGATAATGGCAAAGAGGATGCAAATTGATAATGGCTTTTTCATATTAGTACAGCAGTTGCTTTAGAATTGTACCCTGTATGCAAATTACATTTAATACAATTATAGTATGTTATGATGTTATGTATGTAAGTTTTGGGAATTTTTTATGTTAGAAGATATTTTATATTAAATAATATATTTTGTATTTTTTTAAGTCTTTCATTTTCTATGGGATCAGTACTACATCTTATATAGTTTATTGTTATAATATGAATGTAGTCAAATGTTTCAGTTACGTTTTTAGTTGTTCATATTTTTCCTGTTAAAAAACAACCTCAAACTTGTATGTAGGATGGTTCCATTATAAACCAGCATCATTCATGTGAAAGGCACATTGACATACCTTCCTTTTTAGGGGTTTGACCTTCAAATGCATGAAAGATCAAAAATTGGTATTCTAGCCTATGCGTATTTAGATCAACATTTCAACTGGTGCACACATTTCTTTAACAACAAACAAATCATAATAATCATGCATTATACACAGCAAAAGTACTTTAAACACGATTTTCCATGGTATTGTGTATCCTTAGCAAATTTCAGCTGCATAAAACTTTAAGGTTTATTAATTAATACCTACACAAGTTCATTGTACAGAAAAAAATCAAAGTTTTGGAAATAAGCCTAAGTCTGCAATATAAAATCTTCCTTTTCATATCACTTTACCATCATATAGGAGTTAGCATCTTACTTATGTCATTTTTAAAAGTAGAAAAAAAAACAATTCATCAACAAATATGTGTTAGAGAGTGTCCTATTTTTGTTAAGGGTGGGTGGTTAATCATGGTAATTTTTGTATTTCCTTAAATATCACTGATCAATATGCCATTATACAAAAAAAGAGAAATAATGCTGAAAACATTAAATAAATAATTAATATGCCATCAGATGCTTAAGGAATTTCTTTTTCATTTAAACTTAGTGCTGAGAAGGTCATACCTTTCAAAAAACATAACAACAATTGCAGTTATCAATGCCATGTTAAATGGGAACAAAATGTGTTATTATTTGACATTTATGTTATGTTTCTGGAATAACAAAACAACTTAAAAAGATCAAAATTCTTGTTAAAGAGTTTGACTTCAGGAAAGTCTTATTAATTTCAATCAAATGTTATTTGTTGTTGCATATGGTTTTTCATTTTTATAGACGTTTTTAAGAAATATATATGTGTTCATCTGTTTTCCTAATCATTTTGATATTAACAGTAATTTTATTTTCATATGAAGAGAGAGCTATGATCTTCGAAAGGTTTTTAGATGTTTATGTATTGGTATGTGATTTTCACTTTTTACTGTTCTCGCAGAAATGGAAAGTGATGATTAGATTTTATATTACTAGTATAAAAGATTAGAAAATTGTTTACTGTAAAACAAAATAAGTATCAGTTTATACTTAAAAGAAGTGATTTTGTGTGCGAGTTAAGTGGCAAAAACTCATATTACATAAGGATGGTTTTTAGTGTCGAAATTTTATTCATGAATCTAATTTGACAGATATATGTCACCTTAGATATTTGATTTCGATTTGATGCAATTTTGATATTTTTATGTTGCCTACACTTTGAGGAGGAATAGATTATTTTATTTAGGCACTTGACAAAATGACATTACTGTGACCTTGATTATAGGAAATTTTTAATTTATCAAGACATAAAATTTCATCAATTGTTTAGGGGGTCCTTTACAAAAAGTTATAGTTAGCAATGAGTATTTTGAAAGTAGATAATGCTATGAATAACAAATTAACTATTTATAAAGTGAAATATGTTTCATTTTGAAATTTATTTGTTCAGTAGTACTATGCAATATTATTTAGACTTGGCAATCGTGAGAACGAGAACATTATGCAAATTAACTAATCTAGTCAAATACTCTGCAATGTCTGAAGTTCAATATTAACAGATGATAATCTTTTTTCTGAATTCATGACTACAAGTTAACTGCATGACAATTTTGAAAAGGAAAAATAAGTATCGGAATGGGGCAATGATAAAACATAAAACAAAAATTTATTAAAGTTTCTGGCAATGACTTATCATGCCTGAAGAAAAAAAATTCTTTGTAAGTTTTGGGTTTCGTAAGAACTAAAGATGTAGCCTTGTCATGCAAACAGTTGGTCTGTTACTATTTCAAGTTATAAATGATTTAATGGTATGGAAATCAGAGAAACAAACTGAATCAGTTATAAGAAGTAAGTGAATCTACGAGTGTTTTTAAACATATTTAATTGTTTTATTGTTATTAAAGAAACAAATGAAATATTTAACCTGATGCACAGCTGTAATTCAATCTTGGATTTTTATGTTATCTTGTGCCAAAAATAATTTAATTATTATTGTATGTAAATTTTTATATGTTTTATTTTATATGGTTTTATTTCAAGACTGGGATACACAAATGTAAATTAATGTTGAGTATCATTTAAATTTTTAGTTTTAATTAGTCGGTAACAAAATAATGTAAATCAGCATTTGTGCAACCCCGTCCAGGTTGTAAAATTTAGTTTTCAACTTTAAAGAATCATTGAGGGAAATGAAAATCCCACACATTTTAGGCTCATGTAAGTAAAATTTGGGTTAGATTTTTAGTTAGGGTCATACAAGTAAAAATTGTTCTTTTTTTACTGAATCTTTTTTTAAAACAGTATAAATTGTTAATTTTAATATATCATGATTTAGAATTATTATAAGAATTTAAAATGTGACTAAACGTTTTACAAGGTTATAAAGCAAACATTATTCTTATCATTTCATCACACAAAAGCTAATCCACATGGGTGTCTTCCTTAGAAAGCTTCATTATTAATTTTGATATAAATAATTAATTAGGAATATTGGAATATTGGCTTAATATTTAAAGAGCATACAAATTATCATTCTGCTGATAATTTAACATATTTTGGAAAGACTTTTTATGAACAAAAAAAGCTGCAAAGTATTGTAAAAACCTGTAAGTTTACTTTATATTTCTCACAAAATATATACTGGAAAATAGTCGTCATCTGCAGCTCTAACTATCAATATTTTTTTTAATATTATTAATGGTATTACAGACTTGGAATACTATGGCTTAATAAACAAATCTTCCTATTTTTATATCAACAAGTATTTCATCTAAGGAAATTTTTGATAAAATAAAAACTGTGGTCTATTCTCAAATATTGTATTTATAGCAATTTGAATTAATAGGTATTATATATGATATTGCTTCTATGTGTTCAGATGGAAAATATTGTTAGCTATGCACAGTATGTATATAATTGTATAATATAATATGATTTAATATGTAAATTATATGATATAAAATGCTGACTTGAAAAGTTCCAAATGATAATCATCATTTCTGAGAAAATAAAGTATTGAAAAACTGGTTTTGGATGTCTATTTTATGTAAAAGCGTAATGGTGTTTTCCCCTTTACTTTAAAATAGTTTCAAAAGTTGGTTCATTGTCATTGTTGAGGTTTGGAGTTGATCCTAAAAGGATTATATGAAAGCTAAAGTTTGGCAATGTTTAATTGACATCACATTTAATTGTTAGTTATTTTGAAAATTTCACCAATGATGATGTGAAAGCTAGAACTTGCAAATATTGATGCATATCACACAGCAATTGAAAAATTACTACCCCATTCGTATGACCTTAGAAATATGATACTTTAGTTTCAACTTATCTAGGTTATTAACACAGTTTCAATTGTTACCATCTTCTTTCACTGGCCTACTAGCATTAATGACACTTTTATAGCTATTTGAGATCAGTATAGTTAAGATTAATTGAACAGTTTTTGTTGTTGAGCCTGCGACATTTGTCGCAGAAAGCTCGACATAGGGATAGTGATCCGGCAGCGGCGGCGTTAGCTAAGTTCTTAAAAGCTTTATATTTTAGAAGGTGGAACATCTGGATGCTTCATACTTTGTATATGGATGCCTCATGTTATGAAGTTTCCATCAGTCACATGTCCAATGTCCTTGACCTCATTTTCATGGTTCAGTGACTACTTGAAAAAAAAGTTAAGATTTTTTGTAATGTTAAATTCTTTCTTATTATAAGTAATAGGATAACTATATTTGGTATGTGCGTACCTTGCAAGGTCCTCATGCACGTCAGACAGTTTTCACTTGACCTCATTTCATGGATCAGTGAACAAGGTTAAGTTTTGGTGGTCAAGTCCTTATCTCTGATACTATAAGCAATAGGTCTAGTAAATTCGGCGTATGGAAGGACTATAAGGTGTACATGTCCAACTGGCAGGTGTCATCTGACCTTGATCTCATTTTCATGGTTCAGTGGTTATAGTTAAGTTTTTGTGTTTTGGTCTGTTTTTCTTATACTGTATGCAATAGGTCTACTATATTTGGTGTATGGAATGATTGTAAGGTGTACATGTCTAGCTGGCAGGTGTCATCTGACCTTGACCTCATTTTCATGGTTCAGTGGTCAAAGTTAAGTTTTTGAGTTTTGGTCTTTTTTTCTAATACTATATGCAATAGTTCAACTATATTTGGTGTATGGAAATATTTTATGATCTATATGTCAGTCATGCAGGTTTTATTTGACCTTGACCTCATTTTCAAGGTTCCTTGCTCAGTGTTAAGTTTTTGTGTTTTGGTCTGTTTTTCTTAAACTATAAGCAATAGGTCAACTATATTTGTTGTATGGAAGAATTGTTAGCTGAACATGGCTGCCTAGCATGGTTCATCTGACCTTGACCTCATTTTCATGGTTCATTGGTCAATGTTTAGTTTACTTGGTTATTGTTAAGTTTATGTGACAGTTGTAATAAAGCTTTATATTTAGGACTATCAACATAATATCAATGATTTGTAAAGAAGGCGAGACATTTCAGCGTGTGCACTCTTGTTTCATAATGCACGGTGCATATGGGTCAGTAGTTGTTTTTAGCTGTCTTAGATATTTGCTGATTGCTTAGTACAGCCTGTATTGGAAATCACAGAATACAAAACAAGGATGTTAATCTAGTGGTTATGTCAAGTATTGAGTAAAGCTTAATCTTTCAGAATGTAGATGAGCAATACAATCCATATGTAGCCTATGGGTAGAAATGTCCACTTGTCATTGAGCCCAATTAACTCTTTAGAGATTTGCTAAAAAAACACTGCTTCATTTTCTTGATCAGTTTATTTTGTCACATTTTCGTTGTGCATTCAGATTGTCATTTACAATGAGTATAGGATCAAATTTATTTGGGCAATATAATCACTATTGTAAGGAGTACATTTCTGTCTTACAGATGTGACAATTGACACTAACCTCCTCATAATTTAATGATCAACATAAAGTTTGTATTATGTAAGCTTCTCAGCTACTATGTCTAACGGTTCATAAATTTTTGGTCTTTTGAATCGTTGTATACTATAAAGATAAATGTTCTGCTTTCATGCTTGTCATACTACCTGGTTTGTTATTGAGTTATGAATCTTGCTGCTCTATTTTGAACGTTTACTTTTTTGTCCTGTAACTAAGTCTGATTAGGGTCCCATTCAATGCTCACATATTCTAGGATGGGTCGAATAAGTCCCTTGCACGGCTGTAATTTCACCTATATAGGGCAGGATTTCGTTTTGACAACCAAAGGGTTTTCTAAGATGTTTTGCATATATCCTCAATTGTTTTCCCCGATGTAAAGTATTTTAGATGCTCACTCAAAGGTTTTTTTTAGTGATATCAAGAATTCCAGTGCTATGTCTTTTGAGTTTTTGCCTGTTACTTCAAATTTTGACAGGTGAGCTATTTAGGCTCTGAGGCATCTCTTGTAGCTCCAAGCAGTATTTGTTGTTTATTTCCTTTAGATCACAGGCAGCGGAATGCGAATATCATTGTCTCCGATGTCGCATGAGCCTCTATGTCGTTGAAATGAACGAGGATTGTTCACTGTGGGACGCCTGGAAGTACAACTGAATCGCCAGATTTCAAAACACTAAGGTACGTCTACCCCAAGGCATATATTAACTTTTAGTCGTATTTGGGACATCTTTTTGGAATTTGTTTTTTTTTAACTCTTCTTCGTATTAGATATATCGGGTTTTGGTTGGAGCGCCACTGACGAGTCTCGTGAAGAATAAACGCCCGTCTGATGTACCAACTTAGAGCCTAGTATCTATAATGAGTTATTATTCTCATTAAACATACGCAAGTTGGTCTTTGATATATTTGGCTTTTATTTTTAGCCCTTCTTGGTCATATAACTATTCAAATGTTTCGGTTCTTGTACATCATTGGCTTTCACTGTTCGCGTGAAATATATAGAGTGTTGTTTTAATTTTTTACTCCATTTTTACTGGATCTATACTGCTGCAGGTGAACTATCAGTTCCAATGTGTATCACCAGCTCAGTAATCAGTACTTCGGTTTCGACATGATTTAAAACAAATCTTTCTTACATCATCTGTCAGATATAAATCGTTTATTTAGGTTAATATAAGTTAAAACTATAGTTAGACTGCTGGAAACATTAAACAATGGCACTAGCTACGATTACCCGCAAAAAGTAACAATAAGAAATAATTATTGTTATTTCCGAGCCTAATTGATTAAATGTATTACTGGACAGAGACCCGACTTCATATTGAAATTGCAGGTAACAATAATACCATTTTTATTGTTATCTGCAGTTATTGTTTCCCGCAAAATATATTCAGACAGCCACTGATCTAAAAAAATGTTTGATTTGCGAGCAATCTGTGCAATGTTTTAGTTTTTAACCCCGATTTGTTTTTTTTTTCTTAATCGATTTATGAATTTCAGCGGTATACTACTGTTGCCTTTATTAAACAATTGAATTATGATGTAAAAAGAACTTTAACATGGTTAAACTTAAAGATGTATTGACCTATGATTACGTTCACTTTTGCCAAACGAAGTCGATTAAAACAATTCACTATAGACGACTTTCGTTCTCTCTTCCGTCATTGTCACAACTACTAGTAGTCTGTTGTTATTTATGTATTATTGTCATTTTGTTTATTTTCTTTGGTTACATCTTCTGACATCAGACTCTGACTTCTCTTGAACTGAATTTTAATGTGCGTATTGTTATGCGTTTACTTTTCTACATTGGCTAGAGGTATAGGGGGAGGGTTGAGATCTCATAAACATGTTTAACCCCGCCGCATTTTCATCCATGTCCAGTGCACAATGTTAAAACAATATTGTCGACATCGCGATGTTTCCAATGTTAACACGATATCGTGTCAACATCGTTAACATAGTATGATCTCTTATATATTGTTTACATCGTTGACATCGTTAACATCGCGATGTATACAATGTTGTAAAGATATCGTGTTTACATCGTTTACATCGCTATATCAACAATGTTAACACTATATTGTGTCAACATCGTTTACATTATTACAGCTGTTTTATATTGTTTACATCGTTTACATCGTATACATCGCGATGTATACGATGTAGTAACGATGTAGTGTTTACATCGTTTACATTGCGATATAAACAATGTTAACACGATATATTGTCAACATCGTTTACATTGTAACAACTCTTGTTTACATCGTTGACATCGTTAACATCGCGATGTATGCAGTGTATTATCAAGTTCGTGTTTACATCGTTTGCATTGTAGTATGCACGATATGGTGTCAACATTATTTATAATGTTTGAAATGTAATAAAATGTTTACATCGATGTACTACAATTTATTAAAGATATATTATGGATACAAATGTGTCAATTTTTGTTATTGGATAACAACACGGAGATGTCAGTGTATATTTAGGAAACTGCCGGGATATATACTACATGTTTTACCCCAATTGGAACAACAACAACGTCATCATAGCAAACGTTACTATGTGACGTAGTCTTAAGCTATGCAGAACACTTAAAGAATGTAAGAGAGTCTCAGAGGGAAAATAATGACGTGTATCCGTCAATGATATGTTTTTAATTCAAAACCACGCTATTTACACATTCAATACTTAAGTAATGTCTTAACGTGCAATTACAAATTACTGCATAAATGATAGAATTATTTTCACAGCAAATTATAAAATCCTTTACATATGCGGAAAATATCAAATCGGTTTTTTTAGTATTTGTTGTTGTTAAAAAAAATACAGAAAAAATACAAACAATCTGCATGAAATCTATAAACTTTATTGAAAAATATTAATGAAGAAGAAAAAAATATTCGAGGAAGATAGAAAACTTCTTGTATTTAAAACAATTACACAAAATAATAAGAAATAATAAACATGTACTGAATATATATACTGCGTGGTCAATGTTTAAAAAATACCTGGTATTGGTTTAAAACAAATTGGCAGGGATAATCAGTAATATATGTGTAATTCGGGTTTCAGATAGGGTATATAATGTGACATTCCCGG